CCCCCCTGCCAAGCTCAGCCTCACAGTGCCGTATTCGCACGCGCACGCACACGCGCACACGCACACACGCGCGTGCACACACACACGCGCGCGCACACGCACACGCGCACACGCACACGCACACACACGCACACGCACGCACACACACGCACACACACGCACACAGCCACACACACACACACACATCACATCACACAACACACACACACACACACACACACACACACACACACGCACACACGCACACGCGCCCCCCCCCCCCTCCCCCCCACCCCACCCACACACACACACACACTCACGCACACTCACGCACACACACCAAACGCATGCACGCGCACACACGCACACACACTCATTGCGCCCGCCCCTCTGCCCCCCCCTCACCCCTCCACTCGCAGCGGCGGTACTCGCTGCGCCTTCTCAAGCCCGATCGCGGCTGCACCGACCTGCTTGCCGGCATGAAGCCTGGCACGCCCGGGGCCGTCGCGATGCGCCGGCTGCACCTCGTCAATTTCCGGGCGGAGTCGACGCGGGCGGGCACGGGCGAGAAGTTGTGCGCCTCTCGCTACAAGCCGCTGCACGCCGGCGCGCTCAGCGCGGCGTGCGCGACGATCGCCGCGCAGCTTGCGCCCGCGCTGGAGAAGCTGCGCAGGGCGCACGGCGAGAGCGCGCTGCGCATCCACACCGTGCGCCTCTGGCTGCTCAAATATGTGCCCGAGATCGGCATTCAGCGCGCGACGGTGACGGTGCGGCTGCTGCGCGAGCTCGACGTGCTGCTCGGCTCCGCCATCTACCTGGCGGACGCCGGCGTCTGGGCAACGCCCGACGAGGAGTACGGCCTCGACGCCAACCTCTCGGGCAAGGTTTACGCGAACCTCTTCCCGCATGAGAAGCCCATCGCCGTCGCGGAGCGGCTGCAGCGCGCTGTCGTCGCCGAGCTTGAGACGCGGCTGGCGGCGGAGAAGGCGGAGAGGAAGGCGCTGGCGGAGAATGAGGCGCCGGCGGCCTTTGACGTGCGCGTGCCCTTCAGCTCGCTCGAGCGGCTGCTGCGGCTGCGCACCGACTGGAGGATCCGCGGCCCGCTAACCTACGACGAGGCCGAGCACGTGGGCTGCGAGGGCCCCTTCCTCCAGTCGGTGAAGGATGGCCGCCGCGCGGCGCCGATCCACCATGCGGCCATGCGCTTCGCGCCGCCGTCGGTGCGCGACGCGCGCTTCACCGTAGCCGCCAAGGACCACGGCGTGCGGTACCGCGCCACGCTCGTGCTCGACCTCGGCGAGTGCGCGGTGGTGACCGAGGACCACGTGGAGCGTATGCGCCGCGCGCAGGCCGAGCTATTGAGGGAGCTCACGGCGCGGAAGCCATCGTGCTGAATCGTTCGACGCTCTGCCGCCCGGCGCTCTGCCGCAGCGTCACATGCCAGTCCAAATGCGTTGCATTACGCAGCCCGTCGAACGCCTGCCCACAAATAGTACAATACGTCAACATACGTACTCGCGCCTTGCGGTTAGCGGTATAGCGGGCGGGCGGATGCATATTACACGCGCATTCTCTGGCAGACAGGCAACGAGATGATAGTAGGGAGTAAAAGAAAGCAAAGAGGAGCCCTGCACAAGGGAGAGGTGGGTGGGTCACAGAAGACTGAATGGCTGGGTAGTAGGGCTAGAGGGTCGCTCTACACTTAGCCTCTGCAGCGAGCGAGCGCTCTCAACTTAGCCCCCGCACAGAGCCGGGCTCAGACTTAGACGCTGTATGTCGGGGGGCCTGAACTTAGACGACATAAGGCCAACTCCGGGTAAAACCCGGGTATACCTGCAAAAGTCCTGGTTTACCCGAAAAATACCTGGACGCGTCCCACATACCTCGAGAACCTCGAGAGAGTGTTTATAACATTCACAGTAGGGAGATAAGAAACAAGAACCTCGCATGCGACGACAGTGAGGGTGTGAGAGACAGACCCAGGGAAGGTCTTTCACTACCTTACAGCCCCTGTCTAAGCTCAGGCTCGACAGAGGTCGGTTTGAGCATTGCGCTTAGCGTGTGGACCACTTGCTCGATGTCTCGCGTCGGCGTGTAGTTCGGGTCGTACAGGTACTCATCAGTCTCAGCGGCATTGCCATGGTAGACCAAGACCACCTTGTACCGCAGTGCGGCGCAAGCAAGCAAAGTGGCATGCTGGCACGGCCACGTTGACATCACGGGACTGCTCCTCATGGCTCGCGCGGCGGGGAACATTGAGATTGGCGTCTCCACTCCGACCGTGGCCGACCTGAAGAAGCACCTCGCGCTGGCGACCGACCAGTGGCAGGCAAACTTCTGCGTCGTGCCGCTCGCCCACCCGCGCTACTGGCGCGACCACCGTCGGCCGCGCGCGGAGCAGTTCACGCGGTCCGACTTGGTGCTTGACTCGAACGCGTGGTGCCGGCTGGTGGTTGGCAAGCTGTCGCCGTGGATCCGGCTCGACTCGGCCGACGAGGCGCTGCGCAAGCAGTCCGAGGCCGCCTTCAAGCAGGAGGTTGCGTGGGCGGCACACCTGAACGTGCCCGCCGTCATGCTGCCGCCGGTCGGCTCGGACGCGGTCAACTACGCGCACTGCGTCAACCAGGCGCTCCTCTCTGCGCCGCACATCCAGTTCTGGGTGCGGGTGCCAATCACGCACCCGCCGCAAAGCACTGCCGAGGCGGCGGGCGGCGACGAGGACGGCAGCAGCGGCACCGGCGCGTGGGCGAGCTGGAACCGGCTGCGCTGCCTGTGCGAGCACGCGCCCAACCTGGGCGTGTCGCTCGAGCTGGGCGCCGACCTGCCCGACGACGAGGCCGAGCTAGAGCGCTGGCTCGGCGAGCCTTCCACCCTCGGCCTTCCCGGGAGCCCTCTGGGCATCTTCCGTGAAACCGCCTCGGAGCCCTCCGCGCAGGCGAGCCGCTCCGCGCGGTCGTCACGCCGGCGGTCGCATACCTGACGAACAAGCGCGGCTACCCGACCCTCTCGCGGAGGCACCAGGCCGCCCTCGCGCGCCTCCTGCAGCACAAGCCGCGCCTGCTCGTCTCTGGCCGCGCCGACGCGCACAGCGAGGGGCTCGGCGCGCACGTCCAGTACTTGCGCTACCTCGTCTCGCAGCGGCTCGCGCCGTCGCAGCAGGAGCGGCCGCAGCCGAGGGCGGCAGCGGGTGAGTCGCTCGTCGGCGAGTGAGGCTTGCCCGTGTGCGGCGAGTAGGAGCGGTACGAGGCGCCGTACTACGACTTTCTGCAGGCGCCGCTCCAGCCGCTGCAGGACAACCTCGAGTCGCAGACGTACGAGACGTTTGAGAAGGCGGGAGGGGGCAGAGGCAGACAGGGGGCTCTGCGGGGCGGCGTCCCTTCACCGGGGCGGACATGCGTGCACAGGACCCGGTCAAGTACGAGCGGTACGAGAGGGCCGTCTACCTCTACCTCTGCCAGCGGCACCAGCCTGGCGGAGAGCCCGCCGTCGTGATGGTACGCTACTTCGTTTAAGCCCGACCCCGAACCCCGAACCCCGACCCCGACCCCGACCCCGACCTCGGATCCGGACCCTGACCCCAGGTCGTCGGGGCGGGGAGAGGGCCCCTCGTCGCCGCGACGCTGCGCGCGTCCGCTGCGTCGGGCCGGCGGGTGCGTGCCTTCGCGGTGGAGAAGAACCCGAACGCGGTGGTGACGCTGCGAGGCCGGTGCGCGACCGAGGCGGGCTGGGACGCGGTGACGGTGGTGCCGGGCGACATGCGCGAGTGGGAGGCGCCGAGAGTAGCCGAGATCGAGATCAGCCGAGACCAGCCGCGATCCGCCGAGTACGCTCTCTCTGCCCCAAGCGGCCTCCTTCTTCTGTTCCCTGCCTCCCCTCCAGGCGCCCGTGCTGGCGGACCTGCTCGTGTCGGAGCTGCTCGGCTCGTGGGGAGACAACGAGCTCTCGCCAGAGTGCCTCGACGGCGCGCAAGCGCCACCTCAAGCCGGCCATGAGGCGCGTCCAGGACACGTCCACGACACGTCCTGTAGGCGCGCAGCGCTACCTCAAGCCGGGAGGCGCCTCCATCCCGACCGACTACACGTCGTACGTCGCGCCGCTCTCGTCCTCGCGGCTGTGGAACGAGGCGACGCCCTCCCAAGGGACCCGCGACGTGTGCGGGAGACACGTCGTCCGACACGTGTCCGCGAGACATGTCCCGCAGGTGAAGCACTTCAAGGACTTGGCGCACTTTGAGACGCAGTACGTCGTCAAGGTGCACCGCATGGGCGTGGCCCCCGCACCACTCGCCCTCGCCCCGACCCACGACCCACGACCCTCAGGTGCACAACGCGTACCCGATGTGTGCGCCCCAGCCGTGCTTCGTCTTTACGCACCCGTCGGACGCGCGCACCGTCGCCGAGATTGGCGCGACCGACAAGTCGCGGAAGAGTCGTCCTGGACCCTTCCCGGACCCTCCTCGGGACCTACTTGTAGGCGCGATCGACAACTCGCGCGTGGCGCAGCTCTCGTTCGACGTGCCGCTTGGCGGCGAGCTGCACGGCTTCATCGGCTACTTCCACTCGACGCTCTGGGACGACGGCTCCGAGGCGGTGCACATCTCGACCGAGCCGAGCACCGAGTCGGTCGGCATGTTCTCGTGGTTCCCGCTCTTCATCCCGCTCCGCACGCCGGTCCTCGTGCCGGAGGGAGGCCGCGTCGAGGCGGCCTTCTGGCGCAACGCCTCGCGCCACCGCGTGTGGTATGAGTGGGCGCTCACCGAGCCGCAGCCGTCGCCCATCCACAACCCGAACGGCCGCTCGTACCACATCGGCCTGTGAGCCGCCGCGGAGAGGACGACTGAGCCGGAGCGTGGAGCTGGAGGAGACGTCCGGTGTGGCCGTGAGTGAGATTCACAGGACACAGCCCAAGAATATAAGCTCTCTACGTACAATGAGAGCAAGAGATCCATGGACCATGGACTAGAGTCTAGACACCTCGCAGACTCCTGACTCGCAGTCTCCCAATTCTCAAGACTCAAGCACTCAACCAGTCAACAAACCCCCTTCGGACAAATTCAGCCCTCTGTCGAGAGCGCCGTCGGGGGCGACGACGGGGAGCAGCCCCTCAGGCGATGCCCTCCAGTGGCGGCCGCCTCGCAGTGCGGGTAGCCCGGGACTGCCGTAGGCCAGCGTCTTGTACTGACGCTTCCAAGTTTGGAAGTGGAAGAACGCGCCCTCTTCGCAGCCGCCTTGAAGCTCGACCGGGGCCATGACTTGCGCCCACCACGACCCGTCTGCATGCTCCACATTCCAGTTCCAGCTCCACTCTCCAGCTCCTTGTTCGCCGGGCCAGCCCGAGCGGTTGAGTCGCTGTGGTGGCGTTACAGGGGGCTGCGTACGTCACAATGCGGCGCAGGGCGTGGGCGCGCGCACTAGTCCAAGTTGGGGCATCGGCTTGGCCTATAGGTGAGGGGTGACGTTGGGAAGGGGCATCTAGAGATGCGGGTGCCAAAATGTCGATGCAGACGCGGTACTGGGACTCCACCCAGCCCTCTGATGGGCACGCTGGCGAGAGTTCCACGCGGAAAGGGGGCCCCACGGTCCGCTGGGCGCCCGCCATTGCCATCGACGGGGCGGTATCCATCCTGCCCTGGCCCAGACTGCACGCGGCTGAGCCGCCCGACGGCACGGCGCGGTCAGCGCTGGCATCCCTGAGGATTGCGCCATCTGCAAAGAAGACCGGCCTGAAGTCCATGTCTGCAAAGGCCTTGGGGGCGTAGCGGACGCGCGCCGAGCTGGTCGCGACGACCCACGAGTAGCAGCCCTCGTCGTCTGGGAAGTATTGCTCGTGCGGTCCGCGCCTTGAGCTCTGCGGGACGGGTGGTGCGGGTGGTGAGGGCTATGAGGGAACGGGAAGAGTGAGGGCGGCTGCGGTGAAGGCAGACGAGGGCGTGCGAGGGCGTGTGAAGGCGGTGATGGCGGCGACGGTGTTCGTGGCTGTCCGATGGCATCACAAGCGAAGCAAGGAGGAGCGGACCTCAGCCTCACGGCTCTTGGCCTCGAGCGACTCGGTCAGCCCCGCGCCCAGCCGCGGGCACCTTGAGGTAAAGAGAGATGCGGACAATGTTGTGGCCCTCTGGCGATGGGCAGGGGATGGGGTCCCTCTCGCATCGCCTCACTCCAAGGGTCACTCTCGTCCAGCCCGTGCTAGGCCCACACCTCAAAAAGAGCGCGTTGACGGACGGCGTGTTGCGGTGAGGCGCGAACTGGCCGCGCAGATACAGATTTTCAGTATCACCCTGGGTGTAGGTGAAGATGTCGTAGTCCCGTAGCTCTGTCAGCTCGATAAAGAGTGGCAAGTCGCCGACAAACAGGTCCATGTCTGTGTATGACCAGTGCGAGTAGCCTCGGAGGTAGTCTCGGAAGACAGTGCCTAGGGAGCGAGTCAGGACCGAGCGTGCGGCGGGACGGTGGCGGAGCGCGCATGGCGCACACGGCCTGCGCGCCGTGGGTCGGCTTGAACTGGGTCAGGACGTAGGGAAAGTCGCGGAAGGCAATTCGGAAGAGGCGCACCTGACCGTGTTGCAGAGGGAGCGAAGAGGGAGTCCGAGATGGGCGCACACAGGCAGCAAGGTGCGGGCGGAATAGCTAGCGCGCCAGACGGGGACTGTCCGCCTCGCGCCTAAAGTCAGCAATCGCGTGCGGCTGGACCCGAGGCGGCGAGCGAGCTCGACTATTCATGGGCAAACCCAAGGGCAGCCGCAAGCCGAGTGCCGAAGAGGCTGCCAAGACCTTTTGAAAATGAGCCAGATTAGAGGGGCGCGGCGCCACGTCTGGGTACGAGAGCATGTAGGCCTTGGCCGCCAAGGTTGTATAATTTGACGTTGTCAGGCACCTCGGGCCGCGCCGCGCCTGCGGTCAACGGTTGTTTGGAGAGCTCACCCGGCACGGGCATGTGTCACCCTGCACCGCTGCTTTGCTCGAGCAACTGCCGGTGGGCGCTGTGTATTCTAGGGCAGCAGCCCTCGTGAAAGATCAGCCAGTCAGCAATGAAGCTAGACCGGCTGCACGAGGCGAAGAAGTAGGGCGCCCAGACGGGGAAGGCCGATCCGATCCACGGCAGAGTAAACGCAATCCTGAACTCTGGATGCCGCAGTAGAGGGCGCTCCTGAGCGCTGGTCACACCGAGTGGCGGCGGGAGCGGCACAGCGTGCGCCACGTGGGAGACGCAAAGCACGCACAGCAACCTGGCGTCGCGCATTGGTCGTACTCGAGTATAATGCCCCCAATGTGTCTCCCATGTGCACAATGATTACCTTTTTCTTCGCCCAAATATTTGGAGATTCGGTGCACATAGGGGAGCGAGAGCGACCGCGTGCGTAGGTAGGTGACAGACAGACAGATGAGAGACTCACACACACGGGAAGCATCCATCCATGCATGCATGGGGGGAGGGAGGGAGGGTGGAGGCAGGCTGCGGCACTTACTTGCTTGCTTGCTTGGTTGGAGCACTTGGAGTGCGGTCATTAACCGCACGCCCAGGGCCGGGGAGCTAAGAAGCGCACCCAGCGGGCCGGACGATTGGCATCGCTGACTGACCCTAGGTGGTGGTGCACTTGGAGCACTTGGAGTGCAGTCATCAACCGCACATCCAGGGCCGGGGAGCTAAGAGTGGGTATCTAGTTTTTGCTGAGCTCGCCTTCGATGTTATGAAACAAACGCAAGGCGGACACAAGCACATCGCTCTCTCGGTCCCACAGACATCCCGCACACCCGCCGCACACCCGCCGCCCCCGCGCTCGCCCCACCCCGGCCGGGAGAGAGGGGAGTGACAGTTTGGGATCATGGCAACAGTCGAGATACCTCGCACTCCATGTGCGAGAACGCAGAGAGAAAATGAAAGCCGTCCGGCCCCCAAGTCCGGCTCACGCGCCCCGAGCTGACCCTCTACCGCACTGGTCACTTCCGCCCCCTCGCTCCCAACCCATCCACCTCGCCGACCGCAGAACCGCGCATCTCTTGGAGCACTTGGAGCACTTGGAGTGCAGTCATCAACCGCACATCCAGGGCCGGGGAGCTAAGAAGCGCACCCAGCGGGCCGGATGATTGGCATCGGGTTGCGGGCAAGAGAGCCCTAGCCCCGGGGGTGCGCGTTCGCAGGGAAAGGGCCGTAAAGTAAACACGGGTCTCCGAGGGTTAGTTCCGTGTACCGGGTTTCCCCTTAACTGCAGAACGCCCCCTCTACTCGGAGCTAACGGACACACAACACTGTACACCGGGCGCGTTTTTTTTCGTGAGATGATGGCGTGCCTTGCGTCTCATGAACGAACCGCTTGCATTTCCACACCCGCCTCCGCCTCCGGCGCTAACCGCCACCACCGCCGCTGTCGCCATCATCGCCGGCGCCACCGTGGCCGCCGCCGCCGTACTCCTGTCGGTGTTTGCCGTATGCGTGTACGTGGCCCGGCGCTTTAAGGGACCCGCCGAAACGGCCCCCACCGCCGCCCCGGCCCCCACCGCCGCCCCGACCCTAGCGCCCGTTGCGGTCCGGCGGGTCGCGACGCTCTCCTCCGAGTACACCGACGCCCCGAGCATGATTGGGGATGTGTCTCCGAAGGAGGCGGCAATCGCCTGGCTCGCCGGTAAACAGATGTCCGGCCGGCGCCGCGCCGCCTTGCACCGCATCACGGCGGCGAGGGGGCGGTCGGCCGCCGTCAACGTTGCCGCTCCGCCTCTCGATCACCTGCCGGTCGTGGTGCGCTCGCTGTCGAGAGAAAGCGGTGTGTTGCTCGCTCCCTGCCCTTGGGTTGTATGGCGGGGTCTCACACCGCTCGCGCCTACTCCCCTGCCCTCTTCAGCCACCTCCGCCTCCTCCGCCGTGTCGTACGACCCCACCCCGCCGGCCTGCCTCCCGCCGCCCGACCTCCACTCGCCCCGCGACCTCGCGCCTTACCTCGAGCACGGAGGTCTCGAGCGCGACGACGAGCAAGGAGACCTCGAGGCGCCGTCCGCCGCCCTCAAGGCCGCCCACGTCAAGCCGCGCCGCCACTTCCACGCGGGCAGCTTCGGCTCCGCGTACTCGTCGTTTGATGATGGGGAGGAGGAGGAGCAGGAGGCCGTCTCGCCGTGCAGCCCGACGGCGGCGAAGCTGGCGGCGGCCGCGGCGGGCGGGCGAGGCCAGGCGGATGGCCGCCGTGTGGTGTGGCGCGACTCCTTCGCGCGCGAGGGGAGGAGGGCGATGTCCTTCCGGCGGAACGTGCGGCTGCCCGGGATCCAAGACACCCCCACGCAGTCGGGCTCGTCGACGAGCGGCTCCTATAGCTCCCTCGCGGCGAACCGCCCCCTCGAGGCGGGCGAGTTGGACGCCGTGCTCGCGCCGCAGGGAGGGGAGGGAGAGGGAGGCGAGCCGGACACGCCTCCGCCGGCTTCGGCGAGGCTCGCTGCTGATGGGGCAGCCAGTGGCGGGTCCCCTCGAGAAGACGACTCGGATGCCGTGGAGCAGGTTGAATTGCACCTCGAGGTTTAGCGGTTTTTACAGCTGCCGTCTCAACGAAAATGGAAAAAAATCAGGCTGTCTCGGGGGACGGGAGTCGGGACGCGACCCACTTAGCCTATTGCTATTCTTAGCACTTTGCCCCACTCACCACAGCCTGGGCTCTCCGCACCCTGTACCCATACGATGGCCCTGGTGCTTGTACTCTCACACATAGTCATATTGGGAAAGGCTGAGGGCCCGCCCAGACGATGCCACAAGGGCCGGTACCGAGTACGACCCGTGGTCGTGCGCACACGCATTCGCATAGGGTTATATGGTTGTGAATGAAGAAAAAAACGAGAACTTTACGTACACAATAGGAGTCGGGACTCTCGAGGGATCGCACACAGTGGACTCGGACGACAGAGTCTCGCAGTCCCGTGCTCCGTCACGCTCGAGAGTCGAGTGTCGCGCTGGAGTGGTCCACCCTTTGGGTCAATCCTCGAGGGTCAACCTGGGTCAAGCACGAACAGTTCTCATGGATGCCGCACGCGGAGGCGGACGCTCTGAAGCAGTCCAGCAGATGGGGCCTCACCAAGCAGCAGCCGATCCGGTGGGCATCCCTTTACCCGCACCACCGAACTTGGGCTCGTAATGCATGCTCGGCCCGCTACCTCGGTAGACGGAGCCGCCGTTGTAGCTGCCGCGGCTGAAGGACTCGCGTTCGCTGCCTCCAAAGGCGCTGAGAGCGCAAAAGCCTACCGCCGTGAGCGCAAGTAGCACCTACGATGCTCAACAACATCAGAGATTAGACACCTGCTGAAGGAACAGACACCGGAATCAAGCAAGAGGCACGTAGCCGGCGGTCGCGAGTGTCATCGACTTCTTGGGCGGTGCCTCTGCCGGAGCAAACGACACGTAGAGCGACGGCCCGAGGACTGCTTGTGCGGCAGCGACGGTGCCCTGCCCTGCAAAGACCGTTGTGTTGTACACGACCACATAGCACGGCCAGGAGGCACCGTCCGCCGCTGGCGCAGTGAACGTAACCGTCAGGTCGTACCTGTCTTGCGCGTGCTCGAGTGTCACCTCGCCGCGGCTCTCTCCGGTCGAGGAGTCACTGTCGCCATCGTCATCGTGGTAGTGGTGGTGGTGGCTGTTTGACATGATGGACAATGTCATCCCCATCATCATTGCGTGCGAGAAGGCGTTGTAGTGGTACATTGGTCCGCCGACGTAGAAAGGCATCCCGTAAGGATAGTAGAACATGGCCGGCGAGTAATAGTAGGGCGACCCGTACGCGTATGTCGTCATATAGGGAGAGCGGCCGTAGGCTACGCTCGGGTAGGAGGTCGCATACCCAGGGTAATGGCCGCCGTACGATGCGGGACGCGCCGCGTAGCCGGTGTTGGCGGCGGCGGAGGAGGAGTAGTAGGAAGCGCGGGAGCGGGAGGAGGAGGAAGAAGAGGAGGAGGTACGCGAGCGCGACGAGGACGGTGATGAGGTGCGCGAGCGAGACGAGGATGGTGATGATGAGGAGTACGATGAGCGCGAACGTGAGGAGGACGAGGACGAGGTCGAGGAGCGGGAGCGCGAGGACGAGTACGAGGAGCGGGAGCCGCCGCGGCTCCCGCCCCCGCGCCGCCGGTCACTCAATAGCCCACGCTCAGCCTCTCTACGCTCACTCTCCTCCTCGCCCTCCTCGCCCTCAAAGTCTTCGACCCACTCGCTGAGAAGGTCGCCCTCAAAGTCGTCGACCCACTCGCTGAGAAGGTCGTCAAACTCAAAGGCGGCCGTCTCAAGCTCATTTTGCGCCACGCGCCTGTGCGGCGCCGCATCGCTCAAGGCGCGCCTGCCCGGTGGACTCGTGCTATCTCCACCCTGGTCCGCCATCCACTGGTCCACAACTCCGTCGACCTTGGCTCGCCACGCCGCAGGGGGTGAGGACGGCCTCTGCGGTGCTGGCGCTGGCGGCGGTGACAGAGACACTGCTGGTAGCGAGCGCGCGACCATGTCGGGCGACTTGATCCTCCACGGAAAGTTCAGATCTGGCCCAAGCTCGAGATTCGTGACTGGGCTCAAGACTGCGCCACGGCCGTCTTCGATGGCGACGGCACTCACAACATACGCGCCGGTTTGGAGCAGCAGCGTCATGGAGTAGATCGTGCCAGGGAGGTAGCCGTCGCTGAGGGAGAGGGGCAATCGGTAGCCTGGCCAGGAGCTTCCCTGCTCTGCCACCTCAGCACACGCTGTGAGTGCTGCGACCTGCTGCCCACCCAATGCCGAGGCTGTCGCGTTGCTGCACGTGGGCACCTCGTACCAGACAGAGATGGGAGCAAGTGGCTCGGGCGCCGGGCGTGCGTGCGCATAGATGATCAGGCCGATAGAGACAGCGGCGATCAGCCCGAGGCCGAGATAGGCCGGGGCAGGGGACATGGAGGACTTCAGCGAGATGTGCGAGACATGCGACGATCGATGGGACGCACGCCCGCCCAACGTCCTCGCCCGATGATTCGCGTTTTTCCAACACACACACACACTGGGCACGGCTGTGCGAGGGAGCAAGATCTTCCAGTGAAAGTACTTTGGAGCATTGGCACGTAACGGGTCTCATTTCTTCTATGATCTCGTAAAATGTGAAAACCCTGTCAGCAGAGTCCTCCCTCCTTCCTACCTACGTACGGGAAATGTACGCGAAGAGCCACATACAATGAGAGAGAGATTCTCCCAGTAAGCTAAAAGTACGTACAATGAGAGATTCTCCCAGTAAGCTAAAAGTACGTACAATGAGAGAGAGAAGCTAAAAGTACAATGACAAACTCTTCGGAGACAACGGAGCTCGCTCCTCATTCATCGCAAAAACGCCAAACCCTGTCAGCAGAGAGCAGTCCCCCCGCGGGTACTGTATTCTGTAGTATGTTCGTAAGAGCCACATACATTGGGAGAGGGGACACAAGGGCCCCTCCAGCTCCACCCTCCACACCGCGTAAACTCCATACACGCGATCGTCGCCGTTCGCCCCTCGTCTCTGCTCTCACACCGCGCGCTCACGCGCTCTCTCCACCCTTGAGCGTTGAGGCAGGCTTGTCCTACTGCGAACCTCACCACCTTAACCTTAAGAGGACATACGCGGGGACTCTACTTTATTGGGACAAGTTCTCGCCAAAACACGTAAAAGCTAAAACAAAAGCTCTCTGCGTAAAAGTCCAAAAGTCCAAGAGACAACGTGACCTCGACGCTCGAGAGACGAGAGCGGCGCAATCTCCCCGGGGCAGAGAACGAATAGTATCAGACAAACCGCCATATTCAGAGGAACAGAACGTAACGCGCGACGTGTCGGCGAGCGACATCCGTTGTGCAAGCGCCCCCGCACCACGATGACCCAGCCACGTATGGAAGCGCGTGGCCTTCACGAGCTGCGGGCGAGAGCGAGAAGGCCCGGCCGAGCAGACCGCCTCTAGTCGAGGGGTGTCGGCTCCACCTCCTCCTCGTCGGATCCAGTAAGGTCGATGGAGACAGGAGGCCCCTTTGGGATCTTCCGCATGCGCTCCTGCGCGAGGGAGCCGGGCCGAGCGCTCGGGCAATCGCGGGGCGGCGCACGGGCGGCGCGGCGGGCGCGCCTCTGCGTCGACGATGCGGCGGGCGTTGGCGCGAGCCTTTGCGACGCCGTCGGAGCAGCCCTCGGTGGAGCAGGGGTCCGGGTCGAGCAGCTTGGCCTGCAGCACGGTGTGGTGGTGGGGTGCGGGGGCGTGCGGGGAGGGGAGGGCGCTGCTGTGCGCGCCACCTTGTCGCCCTTGAGCAGGAGGAAGAAGGAGTCGCGGTAATTCAGAGTCAGCTCGGCCAGCTCCGGCGCCCCCTGGACGGGGCCGACACACCACTCGCCCGCTTTCCACTGGCCGTTGCTGCCGAAAGCCTTCGAGCTCGACGCGGCGGCGGTCGCCGAGTGCCCTCCCTTGACCATGTCGCGCTCGGAGGCAGAGGCGCGAGGGCCAGCGAGGTCGGGCTGGTGTGAAATGCCGTGCTGGTCTTGCTTCACCTCAAAAGCATAGCCCTGCCGCACGCGCAGCGTGATGATGCCGCGCGACCAGTCGACGGGCGCAGAGGCGATGCCGCTCCCCGCGCCCTCGCCGCCGCCCTCGCCCTCCTCCACGCGAGTGTGGGAGTACTGAAATTCGGACGTGATCGCCTGCCCCTCGTTGCGCTTCACAAAGCCGGCATAGATGTGCTTGCGACCGGCCATCCTGGGAGCCTGGCCGGTGGTGTCGACAGCGTGCATGGCATCCACCTTCTTGCCGTCGAGCTCGACGTCGAACGCACACGTGCCCTCACCGTGGAACGTGACCTCGATCGAGAACTTGGCGCCCGGCCGCGCCTCGACGATGTGATGCCCATCGATGACATGCTCCGGCTGCGCCTCGCCGTTGAGGATCACCTAGCGACATGGTCGGTCGTCATTGCGCCATAGTCCATGAGCAGTTGCAGCATCGCAGGCAGCAAATGCAGGCGCAGCGGTAAATCAACATCCTGCCCGGTACGCGCCGGCAGCAGCTCTTCTGCGCTCTGTAGCAGCTGAGAGCGCAGCGCGCGCTCTTGGGATGTTGAATGGGGAGGGCGAGGCGCAGCCTGCAGCTCCCAGTCGCCCTGCCGAACCATACCAGCGGAGGGCCAGGGACGCAGTACAGGACGCTCACCAACCACCTGCCGGAATGGGGTGGGCTGGGGCTCGACTCGCAGCGGTGAGCAGTGGGTGGTGGGCTGTGCGCAGTGGGCTAGGGCTCGACTCGCAGCGGTGAGCAGTGGTTGGTGGGCAGTGCGCAGTGCGCAGCGAGGCAGCGCAAGCACCGACCGATGGGCAGCTTCGTTTTTTTTCTTTGAGCTAGACTTGGATGTTTTTTCTTTTCCCCGCTGACTCGCTTTCTGTCCCTTTCCCCGGGCCTCGTAAAATCACAAATTCGATCGGTGAATTCTGTGCGATTTCGGGCGCGGGGTTGTGCTTTTTATGTGAATTCGGGTTGTGTATTTGAGAGAGAGACTCTCTTCTTGCTTGTATTTGTGTGTGTGAATCTAGGCCCGCGGGTAGTCTCACCCCATCCCCAGGGCCTCCAGGGCTCGCACCTCAACCTCTCAGAGACCAGCGCACAGCGCCATAGGAATTCCATAGAGAGATGTTAGAGGTGGGTTAAGAGGGAGATGCGCGCGAGCATCGGACCGCTGGGACGGCGGGCGAAATAAATAAATAAATAAAAACGGTCAAACTCTGAGACGAGATGGGATTTAGGGACATGTGTCCCCGCCCTGCACGATCTTGGTGTGAGGGATCTTCAATCCGTCCCCTCACCCCCTGGTCACTACCCGACACTAGAAGAGCAGCAAGAGTTGGGGCTGCGGCTACGGCTGCGGCTGCGGGAGGGGCTATGGTCGCGGGAGAGCCGCTGCGCCGCGTGGGCGCGCCTACACCGCGCTTGCTCCGCTCGCCACCTCTCGCAAAGGTCCAAAGTCATAGCCATCACCTCCTCCGGCAAGTCCTTTTCGCCTATCTTGCCGTCCCTCCATGCCTGGTAGAGCTCGTCGTCATAGCCATATTGCATCACAGCCTGCTGCACTGCGTCGTGCACAACCCCTGCCACCCTATCCCGCGCCTCAGCGTCGGAAAATTCGAGCTCGGAGTCATACCCGGAAGCAGGCGCAGACGGCCGCGGCGATTTGGCAGGCGGCGAGGGCGGGCGAATCTTGCGACTCGCCGCCACATTTTGGCGACTTTTGGGAGAATTCCTCGAGGTATTTTCTTCTCAATAACAAGGCTGTGAACCGGTGGCGCGACACAGAGTCGGTCGAGTCTGGCCGTTCGAGTCTGAGGATGAGTCTGGATGCAGTCATAACACGTATGTAGGCCTTGTCTCCTGAAGCTTTGAGCAATAGCCGCAAAAGGTGCTTTTCGGCACTTCATCGCGACACGTCCAGGTGCAGACAAGTATCAAGTCTGATCTGTCCCAGACCGTCCTTATTTTGGGTGATGAAGCCCACACTCTGGCTCATACCACGGCTCTTACGGCCTCACACGCGCCTGTTTCACCCACAGACACCGCCGGCACGCACTCCCACTTCACACATGCTCAAACACAACCCCACCAAAGCACAGCCCTGATCAGAATGGGCAAGGGCCAGGCAGCGGCGCGACACAGAGTCGGTCGAGTCTGGCCGTTCTCTCGACGCCGGCCGGCGAGGGTGGCGGCCTGTGGCCGGCTGGTGGGCGGAGAGCAGCCAGGAGGACTCCAGAGTAGCCAGCAACACCAAGCAACGGGTGAGCGCACAGCGAGCGCGAACACAGCTCTGAGAAAGGGCTTGAAGTTGGCCTTTCAGGAAACGTCCGTCTCTGTGATGACGTAGCCGACCCAGGAATTCTCGTTGCTCCACGCCCGCCAGTGCCGCGAGCCCATCCGGCCTGCCTCCTCGCTCCGCACAGCCTCGCTGCCGCTCACCGCATACTGAGCGCTCGTCGGCATGCTCAGCCTCTGCCTGGCCGGCTCCGCCGCGGCAGCTCCAGCGAACGCGCCACAGTCCTCCCTGCAGAGCACACTGGACCAGCTCCGGGCGCAGCTCGCCGCGCTGCAGTCTCAGATTGACTCATTCTCCACCGGCGCCTCTTCGGAGACGCCATTGACCTCGACGCGGTCGAAAGGACGAGCCGGCATTGACCGGCCGGGAGTGCTCCGCGAGCTGCCACAGCTGGCGCTCGCTCCCTGCCTCGGCGTCAAGCCCTGCCTGCACACAACGGTGCGCCGCGCGACGCCCCTCGCCGGAACATCATGTGCGCACGCCAGCTCACCAGGACCGCCCTCCCTCCCTCTCGCAGGTCGAGGAGAGGCTCGCCCGAGGGTGCGCGGGCGCGCGTGTCTTCCGCGGCAACTGGACGTTACCCTAACCCTAACCCTAACCCTAACCCTAACCCTAACCCCAGGCGCGCCTGTCTTCCGCGGCAATTGGACGTCTCCAGTGCCGGTGCCTGGCCGCGACAGCCTCGGCCAGCGCTTCCTTCCGCGTCTCGATTGCGACGTGGCGGAGGTGTGGAAGCTCTCCAAGGTCGAGGCGCGGCGGGGCCGACTGACGGATGCGATGGAGGCGCACGCGCTCTCGCGGCTGGCCGGGCTGCGCAACAAGCTCTGGCTCATCGTGGGCGCCTCGCTCGTCCACGCCATCATGCGCGCCCGAGAGGCGTGTCCATGACACGTCCATGACACGCCCACAGGCACCTCGGTCGACCACACAATCACGCGGTCCGGCTGCGACAGCTTCGGCGTGCCGCGCGAGTCGGTCGTGGTCTCGACGGCAGAGCTGGCGAGGGCGTTGCCGGCGGGCGGCCAGCACGCCTTAGACACTTCCTAGACACCTCCTAGACACTTCCTGGACACTTCCTAGGCGGGCGGCCAGCATGCCTTTGCGGGCGGCAGCGGCCTTGCGATGGACGGGTGCGCGGTGCCTCTGCTCAACTTGACCGTCGTCGAGACGCACTCCGCGGGCATGGCGAGCCTGAGGCGCGGGCAGCTGCGCGAGTAGTGCCGGACGGCGCCCTCCGCCGTCAGAAGGCCGCGCCCCGTGTGCGCAGGCCCTCGAACGACGCCGCTCTCCAGCCGGCGCGGCTGCGAGGGTGGGAGCTCGCGTTGGCGGCGATGCGGCTGCACCACCGGCCTCCGGACTTTGTGACGCTTTCGGGGGAGGAGTGGGACTTCAAGAACTGGGCGAGGGCGGGGCGGCAGCCAAACTCGAGCCTCGCCTGGCGCGAGGTTGGGGAGGTCATTCGGATGCAGGTCGAGGCGATCCGCAGCCACTGGCCGCGCGCCGTGGTGATGGTGCGCACGATGTACGCGGCGGCGTACGGCGGGCTCGGACCTGTCCTGGACATGTCCACGACACTTCCCTGACATGTCCCGCAGGTACGGTGCGACGTACGGCGGGTTCGGCGGCGACTACGGCGCGTACAATGCGCTGCTGCGCGAGGCGAGGGCGGGGCGGCTTCGGCTCTCGGCGGCGGAGGAGCGCGCTGTTCACGCGTCCGGCGGTGAGAGCAGGTCTCGACGCGGCGGCTCTCTCGCAGAGCCGCGAGGGCGGCGGGAGGCGTTGCCGGCCAGCAGCCCGAGGCGCCAGCCCGCCGCGCGGAGAGGGAGAGAGCGGCCGGCATCGTGGAGACGGCGCGCACCGCCCTTTGAGACGCGGACTCAGCTGGGCCGGCGGCACCTCACGGGATGGTGGGGCGGGAGTAGGAGTGCGGCCGGCTCGCGCACGAGAGCGACGTGGCGAGCATGGCGCACTGCTCGGCGTGCAGCTCGCGGAGCGGCTGGACCAAGGCGCGGGCGTGCAAGAGGTGCCAGACCCTCGCGAGCCCTCGAGACCTCGAGCCCGGCTCTCCTCGCCGTGCATAGGACGGGATGCACCCTCACGAGTGGTTCACGGCCAGCTGGATCGAGATCGTCCTCAACCAGATGGCAGATCTGGGGGCCGCGTGCCAAGATCTGGGGGCCGTGTGAGAGCGCCTCGCCTCGCGGAGAGGCGCCCGGCAGCCATAGCCGGGCATAGGCGCACACAGGGGCGCCGGCCGCGCGCACAACACTCAGCACCGTGTCAGCAGCCAGCATCAGCCGCTCCTCCTTGTTCGTGACCGGCGAGAGACCGGAGCGTAGTCCGTATATAGCCGGGAGAGGCCCCGGCCCCCGCCATCTTCGAGCAGACAGTGCGCACATCTCAATACTCAAACGCGCAAAACTCCAGAGTGACTCAGACACAAAATGGCCTTGGACCCTTGCGGAGCCTTGTTGCGTTGTGGTTCGTGGTTGCGGCTCACAGGCTCTCCACATATCCAAAATGCAAAAACACAGTCTCCACAAAGCACACAATACGCTCTCGGCGGGACGCGAGACTCGGGCCGGCACCCCGCACAACTAGCGTACATGGTGGCGAGTGTGCCACAAGCTTGCCAAGACCGCAGTACTCCACGGCGCGGACCATCACCATGCACACAGGGGCTCAATTGCGTCGACAACTGCACGTGCTCAACACGCACGCCGTAGACAGGGAGAACGCGCTCCCGCAAGCCTCACATACTGTACCAAGAGTGTGTACCAAGAGGCGCGGGTGAGGCCAAAGGGCGGGGGGCACCAACGCACGTACAGATTGACAGCCCTCGCGTTCGCGCTCGCCACGCGGAGACCGGCGAGTGTTGCGGCGGCACCGGCCGGGCCAGCGCACTGCGCTCAGACCAGGCGGCGCCTCTTCCACGAGCGCACGCTGTCCGCGCCGCCGCTCGCCGCGCTCACCGCCCCTGCCGCCGGGGCCGCGGGGGCGGCGGGGGCAGCGCGGGCGGGAGCAGCGGGGGTGGCGGTGGGATCTCCGCGGCGCGCTGCCACCGCGTGCGTCGGCAGGGACTGACCTCCCTCCGCCTCGCCCTCGCCGCCGACGCCGCCCATGCTCGCCGTGAGCGCGCGGCCCGACTCCTTCATCGTCATGCGCGGGTTGCCGTGCTCGTCGCCCACGGCATTGCCTCGCACGTGCAGCCGCGGGGCGGGCCTGCGGGGCGGTGGCACGACGCACGTCAGCAGGCGGTGGCGCAAGACGAGTGTGTCGCGCTGGTCTCGATGCGGCGGCTCGCCGTCTGAAGGCGACCGCCAGGCGCTTCCGGTCCTTTTTGTCGAGCGTGGCCCGGAAGGCCGCCTCGCCCGCGCACGTGTACGTGACGCGGAGGTGGCCGGTGCTGCCTCCTTTGGCGAGGGTGACCGACCCTTCTCCCGGCACGACCACCTGCCGGGGGGGGGGGGGGGGGGGGGGCGACGGGTGGCACGTGGAGGACATGCTTGCCACACTCGGCCACGGGACTGCTGTGAAGTGGTCTCGGCTGGCGTCGGAACCTTGCCCGGCGACCAGTAGGTGCGCACGCGCATCTTGATCTCGTCGAGCTGCTCGTGCAGCACCTTCTCCTGCTGCTGGCACGCCGCGAGCTGCGACGAGAGGTCGACGTCGGCGGCGATCGGCTTGGGCGCCGGCTTGGCGCTCGGCGTGATCGTCACCCGCGCGCACATTGCGCCGACGCGCGTCTCGACGCGCCTCACGACGCCGCTCTCGAGGAGCAGCTGCTTGTCCTCCTCCGCCAGCGCGTTGAAGGTCTCCGCCACGACGACCAGCTTGTCGGGCGGCGCGGCGAAGGTCTGCACCTGGTACGCGCCCGTCTTCGCCTCGTTCCGCAGCGTCGCCACCGCGGTGCGCAGCCTCCACGGCGCCTCCTCCTCGGCGCACGCGTCCGAGAGGAGGAAGGAGGTGGCGCGCGCCTCGCCGACCAGCGCCTGCACCTCCGCCCACACCTCGGCCGAGAGCCCGTCGCCCGCCCAGCGCGCCGGCCCGGTCAGCTGCGCGGCGGGCACGGCGTCGGAGGGGGCGAGCTCCGAGAGCGGGACGCCGTTGTTGACCCGGCTCGACTTTCGCTCGAGCCTGCGGACGGCGACGCGGCAGTAGCGGCGGTAGAGCTGCTCGTGCTCCTGCCGGAGGCGGCGGCAGACGCCGGTCGCGAGGACGGTCGCGCTCTCCGGCGAGCTGTGGAGGAGGATGAGCGCGAAGCAGAGGCCGTCGAGCCGCAGGAGGGAGGAGGCGTCGTTGACGTCGCTCACGCCGCCCGCGTCTACCGACAGCCGCGCCGCCGGCCGCTGCGCAAAAGGGGGGAGGAGGGGGGTAGAGGGGGGAGGAGGGGGGTAGAGGGGGGAAGGGGGGTAGAGGGGGGAAGGGGGGTAGAGGGGGGGGGATGGGTCTAACTGCGGGCTGCCTCGTCAATCTCTCTCCGTCGCATCCCGCTTAGGGCATCGAGCTCTTCGGGCCGCGCGTGACGCGAAGGGGGCGGCAGGACCGCCGCGACGGCGGAGGGGCCAGGGCCGGCGACGGCGATGGGAATGGCGCCGCCGGCGGGCGTGTCGGGCGTGTCGGCGGGCGCGAGCGTGTGCTCGTCCGCCTCGCCGAAGAGGTCCTCTGCGCTGGCGTCGGCGTCGTCGGTGCCTTCGGCGTCGGTGTCGTCGGCGTCGGTGTCGTCGGCGCCAGCGCCTGCTGCGTCAGCGCCTGCTGCTGCGCCAGCGCCCACGCCTCCGGGGGCGGAGGGCTCGCCCCCGGCTGCGCTCCTGAGCAGGTCCGGCCAGCTCGAGCCCTCCTCGCCAGGAGACGCCCCCGCATCCTCGGCCGCCGCGCCCGGCTCCGCCTCCTCCTCCGTCTCCATCGCCTCCGGCTCCGCCTCCATCATCACGGCCCCCTCCAGCTCCGCCGCCGCAGCCTCTGCTTCCGCCGCCGTCTCCGCCGCTGCGTCAGCCTCCACCTCAGCCGCCTCCGCCTCCGCCTCCGCCTCCGCCTCCGCCTCCGCCTCCGCCGCCGCCGCCGCTGCCTCCGCCGCTGCCGCCGCCGCCGCCGCCTCCGCCGCCGCGATCGCCGCGCCGCGCTGCTGCTCGATGTTGTCGGCGAGCGTGAAGGCGCCGTTGAGGACAAAGGCTCTGCCATAGTCCACCGGGCTGCTCGCATCCTCCTCTTGGCCGGCGGGCAGGTCCAAGCCAAGGAGGTCGCTGTTTTGCCCCTCCTTCTCCTCCTCCCCGCCGCCCTCCGGCGCGTTCGCGACGCGCCTCCATAGGGCGGCGCGCGCGAGCTTGTCTGACGCGGCCTTCGTCGCGCTGCGGAGCGCCCTCTTCAGCTCGTCCATCGCCTTCCACTCGGCGTGCTTGCGCAGCGCCTCGCGCGCGAGCTCCTCCCGCTCGTCGTCCTCCCCACCGGGGAGGGCGCCGCGCGCAGCGCAAGAGCCGGCGTGCTGCTCCTCGTCGTACCGCTTCCAGCACTTTTGGCAGTAGAGGTCCTCGGGGTTGTCGTGGTCCGCAGTCAGTCCCTCGCTCGCGCCGCATTCTGCGCAGCGCTCGGTCCCCTCCGGCGAAAGGCAGGTGCGGGCAAACGTGGCGCGCTTCCTCTCGCCGCTCGGGAAGTCGACAAGGTACCGCTCCCTGTCGGGCAGGTACTTGACAATCTTGACAAGCACGCCGTCGAGCTCGGGCGCGCTCTTGAGCCCCTGGAGCCGGGCGAGCGAGTCGGGCTCGAGGAGGTCCAGTGATTTGGGAGACATGTCAAAAAAGAATTTTCCAAGCCCGGCACAACACTGGGACGAACACTGGGCACATACAAACGGTCGCGCTTACAACTGTCATGATGCCGGTAGCCGCCGCCCTTGCCTCCCGAGCCCGAGGGGCCAGCCGCGCCGCGGCCCAGCGCCTCCGTATTAGTTCCCGGCCGGCGTGAGATGCCCAGCCTTCGGGCCGCGGCACCCGTTGCGGCCGGGCCAACCTCAGTGCAGAGAGCGACGCTCAAACCTTCGGATAAGCCTCGCCAAGCGTCTGCAGCTGCCCCGTGGCAGGCGCCCACGACGCCGACCGCGGTCGACGGCAACGGATCGGTGCGGACGCGACGCCGCCCGCGCTCGCGCCGCGCGCACGCGCCAGCACTCGAGCTTGAGATGATCCTCATTCTCGCTCTCGCACTTCAGCTCTCAGCCAAGCCCTTGCCAGTGCCCGTGCCCGCGGCCGTGCGGACGCAGCCACGCGCCGACGCCGACGCGGATGGGGTGGGCCGAGACGACAGAGCTACGACAGGGCCTCCACCAACAGAGCACAGGCTCAAGTACATACGCCCGCCCGCGGCAGGCGCGGACGCCCGAGGCGCTGCGAGTGCTGATGGAGATGTGCGAAAAGGCCCGCGACGGGATCGAGCCCAAGCCCGTCAACCCGGAGCATCAAAAATCTCTACACACACACACACACACACACACACACACACACACACACACACACACAACCCTCCCCCAACCAAGAACGCGGCAATTCTAAAGATCCGAAGAAAGAGAGATCCGCGACAGGGTGCGCCCACAGGACCCAAAAAAAGAAAAGAAAAGAAATGGGCCACCCCCGATCGCAGCACTTCGTGTTGGAGAGTCGAGATATTGAGAGTGTGACTAGGAGGCTGAGGGACGCTGGGGATTCTCAAAGGTATACCCTTGGAATGGCCGGATCCAGCCTTAAAAGTACGAGATCGCGCGCGCTTCGCGCACAGCACCGCCTGTTCTCCGCGGCTGTGTGACGACGCGTGCCGTGTGCCAGCAGAGTTGGGCGCGCGCGGCGCGACGGCGCCCGCGATCAATTGTGCTGCTCTCAAATCTAGTCTGGTTCCAAACGGCTTCAATCCCGAGAAATTAAGTGCCAAAGATTTCTCTGGACGATCCACAAATCCTATTTAACAGCGGCGTGATGCCGTTGTTCATGGCTTGGCCGACCGCTGCCTGGCCTCGAGGAGCAGCCGGGCGCACTCGACGTGGCCCTGCAACAGCGGCGACCGTGGCGCCGCCGTCCCTGGCTTGGTTGGACTCCATCGCGCTAGGCGACGAACCTGCCCCCGCCCCCCCCGGGGGGCCCGTTGGGGCCCCTCCAGGGGGCGACCCCTCCGGGGAGGCCGGCCTTCCCCGTGCCGGTCCTCCCCACCCAACCCCGCCGGCAGTGCGAGCTGCCGGCCACATTGAGCGGTTCGTCCGCGTCGCGCACCCGTCCCAACGGGGGGCCGCAGACTCGTTCTGCGCGCCAACGGCTGGTGACGCTGTGTTGCCCTTGAGCTAGTCCTTCCCCGGTCGCCTAGCCTCTGCGCTGTCTGGCAAACGCCTGTATGCCATGCGCGCGGACCACGCTTGCGTGGATACGTGGCTTGGGCAGGCTGACCCGTGTGGCCGTGTGCGCAGACTGAGTGCGGGGTAACCCGCGCACGGGGAAAAGCTTCACGGGCTCGAGCCGTCAAACATTAAGCAGCGGCGGTGTGCCGAGGGGGACCGGGAGGCGGTAAGTCGTCGTCACCCGGCGCTGCTTGCAGCACCATGGCGATGGCGCTAAGAGGTTCCTCTTTTTTCCGCGCCCCACCCCGCAAGGCCGCGCGCGATAGCCGATACCCGATACACACGTCTTAGACTACTACCCAACCAGTGCCAGACCTCTATTGCACAGCCGAGAGCGCCACTCGAGTGTGTTAGTGAGTGGGTGGTGGTATTCTTGATACGAAACCATACAAAGCGAGAGAGAAGCTAAAAATACGTACGTACAAAGCGTAGGCCGACCTCTCCGGCCGGAGCACTCTCTCGACGTCCCGGCCGTTCAACAAGAATGCATCTACCGCGTGTGCACATTCGATCACTCGGCGAGCGATGCGAACGCCTCCTCAGCCGCCGACAGCACGCCGTCGCCGTCCGTGTCCGCAGCCGCAAAGGGTAGGCCTCGCGCACGCGCCTCGAACGCCGCCAACCGCTCGTCAAACAGCGGCTCGCGGCCTGTGGCGCAGCGTACGCAAACCTCGAGGTGCGAGCCGTCGATCACCAACTCGTCTCGCATCGCGGTGCCGTAGAAGCGGCGGATTGTGCTCACGTCGCTCTCCTCGGGCGCGGCTCCAAAGGTGAGGAGGTAGAAGTCCTCTCGCTCACTGTCACTGGCAAAGGCGGCGAACACTTGCGTCGGCGCGGGCAGCGGCGCGAGCGGCTGCCCAAGGGCTGTGGCATACATGCGCGTGTGGTGCACGACGACGCGGATCTGCCGGCCGGCCTTGAGGATGTTGGCGGTGCTGAAGGGCTGCACCCCGAGGCGGGCGAGCCGTTCGGCCAGCAAAGGCCCGAGCGCGTCCTCAGACTGCCCGGTGTAGGCAGAGAGCACATCCTCCTCCGCCAGCGCGCCAAGATTAGCGCGGTAAGATCCCTCGAGGTCACTGGCAGCCTGCGCCGCCCTCTTTTCTGACGTCGGGGGGCTCAGCAGCGGCGGCACCGGCCACGGCTCGATCAGCACGATGCCGGCCGCCGGCAAGCCCAGGACACCGGCCGCGACCGCCACGTGGTGTGCAAGGAACGAGCCGAACGAGGCGCCGCCGAGGAGAAATGCGTCGCCCGCCGCCCGCCGACGCATCTCGCCGATGATGAGCTCGGCGTACTTGAGCGCCACCTCGGGCAGCGTAGCCTCAGCCAACGCCGCGGGATCGCCGGTGCTGAGGTGCTCATGCTGCAGCGCGTAGAGGTCTCCCTCTGTCGTGAGGGTCGAAAAGAGCGTCGCCGACCCATGGAACGAAGTGACGGCAAAGAGGGGGGGTGACTCGGACGCCCCAGACCGCAGCATGAGCAAGCAGTCCCCGAGGCGCTCAAAGCCGGCCCCGGGCTGTGCCGGAGCGAGGCCGCCTGCCGATGGTGTTGCGTCAAGGAGCACGGGCGCAGCAGTATCGGCATCAGCGGAGGCCGCTGGTGCAAAGAAGTGCGCCAGCTGCCGCGTCGTCGGGTAGTCGACGATGAGCGTGGCCGGCAGCACTGTGGCCTCACCCGCCGCCGCCTGCAGCTGGTTGCGCAGCTCGACTGCCCCAAGCGAGTCCAGCCCAGCCTCCATCAGCGGCGCATCAGCATCGACATCAGAGCCGGCCGTTGATCGGACCACGTCGAGGATAGCATCGAGGGAGACAGCGTTGCGCGCAGCGGCGGGTGTGGTAGGGGAGTCCAGCGCAGGCGCAGCGACGGCGGGCTTGGTAGGCGTGAAGAGCGACAGCATCGCCGGCACCGCCGCAGCTCCGCCCAGAAGCCGGTCCCAGCGGACGATGAACATCCCTTGCACAGCTGGGCCGACTGCGCCGAGCGCAGAGGCCAAGGCGGGGGTAGCAGTTGCCATGGTGATCAGGCCAAAGCCGGACGCCTGTATCCGCGCGTTGATCGACTCCTCCGCCGCCATGCCGACCTCGCCCCATGGGCCCCACTGCACCGACGAGGACGCGAGGCCTTCGGCACGCCGCAGCGCGCTCGTGGCGTCGAGGCAGCAGTTTGCAGCTGCGTAGTTGGCCTGGCCAGCGCTGCCGAGCAGCGCCGACACCGACGAGAAGAGCACGCACGCGTCGAGCGGCGAGGCGGCGCTCGCTCGCTGCAGGCCCCAGCCGCCGACCGCCTTGGGAGCATACACTCGCCGGAAGGCATGCGCCGTCTGGGAGCGGAGCAGGCCGTCTGCTAGCACGCCCGCCGCGTGCCACACGCCAGCGAGCCGCGCCCCATCGCCGCCAGCAGACGCCCAAGCAACCAAGCGCCGCACGTCCGCCTCCTCGGCCGCATCGCACGCCGCAGCCCGCACCGCGCAGCCAGCCAACGAGGCGAGGCGAGCGCTCCCTACCGGCGCCATTCGCCCGCCCCGAGAGGCGAGGACCAAGCCCGCCGCCCCTCGATCGCCGAGCCACTCGGCGACGAGCAGGCCGACGCCGCCAGTGCCGCCCGTCAGCAGCTGGAGGCCGCCAACGCCGCTCGAGCTCTCTGGCGGCGCGTCGAGGCGGCTCAGCCGCGGCACCCTCGCCCCGCCGTAGCTGGCCACGGCCTCCGGCTCGGTCGGCGGCAGCAGCGAGGCCATTGCCAAAAGCTCCGCCGTCGAAGGTCCTGCGCCGTCGACGTGCGAGAGGCGGCTGCCCGGCGCCTCGGTGCGGACGGTGCGGGCGAGGCCGAGTAGGCCAGCCTGGGATGGGCGTACCCTAGTTGCGGCGCGCACGGCCTGCGAGCCTGGCCCGAGCAGCCACAGAGGCAAGGGCTGCGCCGCCAGCTGCGGGCGCACCAGGTGCAGCGCAGCCTCGATGCAAGGGAGCGACGGGGCGGCCGGTGGGCTGCTCAGCGCGAGGGCAGCAACGGCTCCGCTGGAGGTGCCTTGGGCTGTCACAGACGCAGCGACGCGAGCGAGCGGCGGTCTGGCTGCTCCCACGGTGAGCGAGGCCACGTGCGGGAGCGGCTTGTCTGGCTTGCTCTGCCACCAGCCTTCCCGCAGCCCGTTGGCCAAGAAGCGCTCGAGCGCCTCGGTGAAGGCCGCGTCGCGGTTGGCCAGGCAGCGGTTGATGACGTCGATGTGCATACCCTCGAGTCGCAGCGCGACCGCGGGCCCGTAGAGCGAGAGGCTGTCCTCTGTGACGCCAGGAAACATCTCGAGCCAGGTCGACCAGCGGCCAGTCGAGAGCGGCATCAGCACCGCCGGCTCTCCGCCGCCGCCGGTGGAGAAGGGCTTGACGCTGGCGGCGAGCATGTGCAGTGCGTGGCGGCACTGGCGGTACACGGGCAGCAGCCGCTCTAACTGCACGACCAGCGCCTCGAGGTCCTCGTTCGACGCCCCGGCCGGAAGGAGCTGCGCGGCGATGAAGTGAGGCAGTGCGCCCTCTGGCAGAGACCGCAGCTGGGGGAAGCGCGTCCACACATCCGCGCCCATCTCTACGCGGAGGTGTATGAGAAGCACGCCCATTGCGGCGAGGCGGAGGCTGGTGAGCATCTTGGGCACCGGCAGCTCCTCTGGCACAGCGGGAGGCGGGTCGAGGAGCACCACGCGGCGAGGAGAGCCGCCCTTCTCGCGCGCCGCGTTGGCGACGTGCTGCGCGAGGACCGCGCCAAAAGACGCGCCGAGCAGGTCAAAGGGCGTCTCAGCAAAGACCGCAACCAATGCAGCTGCGTACTCGCTAACCATGTCCGCCGCGCCAGCCGGGTCGAGGGCGAAAGCCTCCGAGCCGTCGAGGCCACGGTGCCGGAGTGCATAGACGTCGCACGTCTCGAGGGCGCCGCTCCACAACCTCCCGTAGCCGCGGTGGTCGCCGAGAAGGCCGTGGGCGATGACAAGCGGGGGCTGCGTCGAGGAAGCCTTGGCGCGCCGCAAGAGGAGGAGGCTCGGGTGGCGCGGGTCGACGACCGAGGGCTGGACTCGTTCTTCCGCGGCGTGGGCAGTCGGGGGAGGGTCGTCATCGGGAGTGGTTGTGCGGCGGTCCTGCCACACCGCCCTCAGAGCCTCGAGCGGCTCGACGCCGGGCTCCTCCGCGATGGCAGCAGCGAGGCTCAGGGCTAGCCCGCTCGCCTCAACCTGCGCCTCGCTTGCTGCCGCCGCAGGAGGCGCGCTCCCGCTCTCGGCCGCTCGCATCAGCGTGTAGGCCACCGGCCTCCCTGATGGCTCTGCGGCATCGTCACGCGGGGTAGCTGCGTCTAGTGCCGCCCTCAGCGGCTGACGAGCGAGCACGGTCGGGCTCAGGCGCTGCGAGGGCTGCCGCATCAGCCCGAGCGTGCCTGCCAGCCCGACCCGCGGCTGCGCCGCCAGCCACGCAGCAAACTCGAGCGCTCGCTCCGAGGCAGCCTCGACGCCCTGCCTGCTCTCTTGAGACTGGCCGCCGCGAGCCGCAATGCTCTCCGCCTCGGCGACCCGGTAGTCCGCGGCCTCGCTCAGCACCATCCCCGGGCCGCTCACCTCGCCGTGCAGCGCGCAGACGAGCGGGAGATGCAGTGCCAGCAGGCCGGCGAGGGCGGCACTCAGCTCGGTGGACGAGTCGTCTGCAGAGCCCTTCCAGCTGGTGCTCGTCAGCACAAGCGCGCGCGCGCCTTGCTGCCTCGAGGTGCTGAGCAGCTCCTGAAGGGCCGCCTCGAGCTGCCTTGCGAGAAGCGAGGCCCGCACGCTAGTCAGCTCGACGGCTGCAACGCCCGTGGTGTCGTCCAAGGCGAAGCGAGCCGGCGGCACGGTCCCATCCGAGTCCGCCTCGGTCGCAACAGCGCGCCACTCAAGCGTTGGGTTGGTTGGTGCCTTCTCTGTCCCGCGACGAGCGCCTTGCTCCTTCATCGCGCGCATCGATCGCACTTGCGCAAAGGCCTCCTTGGCGAGAGTGCTCCGCTCGAGTGGCGAGAGGCGGAGCGCGGCTCCAGTGGGCGCGGTGTCCACCGCCGCTGCGAGTCGCCACGCCCGCGCCTGCGCCGCCGCCGCCGTCGTACACACGTGCTGCACGAGGCCGACGCCTTGGGCCTGCGATGCGCTCAGCTTCTCATCGCGCAGGTAGAGCTGCATCGCGGTGGCGTGCCCCACCACCTCGGAGAGGCTGCGCGTGAAGAGGCCGGCCGGCGTGAGGCCGCGCGAAAGCTCGCCATACTGGAAGGTGGCGTCCTCAGAGGCGACGATGCAGTCCGTGTGCAGCGCGATTGCCATGCCGCCGCCCAGCACGGTGCCGTGTACTGCGCTGATGACCGGGACCGGCAGCGTCCGCAGCGCGACAAAGCCGGCAAACAGGTCGATCGACCTCCGCGCCGCCGCCGTCGAGGTTTTGAAGGTGTCTCGGCCGAGCCGGTGCGTATTGCCGCCCGGACAAAAGTGCGACCCTCGCCCCTGCAGAACCACCGCCTTGACTCGAGTCGGCGGCTGCGAGCGAAGCCACTGCACCGCCCGCAGCATGTCGTCCGCCATCTCAGCGCTTATGGCGTTGAAGTGCTCGGGGTCGTTCAGCTCTAGCACGGCCACGCGAGCCGCTCGGTCGACGCTGAGCTTGACGAGGGAGCCGTCGCCGCTGGGCAGGGTTGGGGGCTCGGAGAGGAGCAGCGCCTCCTCGGGGCAAACGGAGAGAGCGGAGGGGGCGAGGAGGTCGAGAGTGGGATCCACGGAAGGCTCGGATGTTGCGAGCGAGTGCCACTCGGTGACGTACAGATGCCGCACGCGCTGCGCTGACGCGTCGAGCGACGTTTCGAGCGCACGCGACTCGAAGCCGGCCAGGCGCACGCCCGCCGAGGCGGCGCCGCTGGCGACGACCACCCCGACCGCCTCGCCGCCCTCCCGCTCCGCCACCGGCCACGCCGTGCCGCTCGCATCCGCCAGCGCCGCCTCGCCCACAGAGAAGGGCAGCCGCGTCACGCCCTCCCCTGCCTCGGCGAGCAGCGAGGACAGGTGCAGCGAGCCGTCGAGGTCGGCCGGGTGGACGCGAGTGCCCTCCTTGCGCGAGCGGCGGCACAGCCGGCCGACGGCGACGCCTGCGGCGCGCGAGACGGCCGCCAGCTCGAGCGTGCGGTACCGAGGGCCGTACTCGAGGCCGACCGAGCGGAGATGCGAGTAGAGCGAGGCGGCGTCGACCGCCTCGCCGCACGAGGCGCGAGCCGCGGCGAGCGAGAGGCCAGGGAGCGGGCCCGACGCGGCCGATGCGCCGCCGGCGCAGTGAGCCGTCGACGCGTCGCCGCCCCCCTCGGAGGTCAGCTCGAACTGCTCCTTGGACACGACCACCCTCACCCGCGCCTCGCTCAGGTCGCCGTCCAGCACGAGCGGCTGCAGGAAGAAGATGCGCCGCAGCGACGCGCCTCCGCCGCCGCCAGAGAGGGCGACGCACGCCGCGCGAGCCATCTCGAGGTAGGCGGCGGCGGGGAAGACGACGCGGCCCCGCACGACGTGGTCGGCGACGAGGGCGAGGAGGGTCCCGCTGGCCGGCGAGGAGAAGGCGTCGGCCTGCCGCCCGTCGGCGTCCGCCTCTCGCCGCTGGAGGAGCGGGTGGGGCGCCTCGCGCCACGCGTAGCGGCGGCGAGCGTAGACGCGCGGTGGCGGGCTGCTCGTGGTGAGCGAGGGAGGCGCCGCCTCGATCACGGCGTGGGCGATGGTGCCGCTGTACCCAAACGAGCTCACCCCGACCACGCCCTCCCCTCCCCCCGCCAGCCGTGCGAGCCCCTGCGTCGGCAGCGCCGTCGGCCGCGCCGACGCGCCGAGCCGCTCGCCCACGAGCGGGTTGAGCGACCGCAGCTGCGCGTTGCCCAGCCACGTCGAGCAGCCCACCGCCGCCGCCGCCTTGGCCAGCCCGAGCAGCCCCGACACCGGCTCGGCGTGGCCCGCATTCGCCTTGTGCGTCCCGAGGCAGAGAGCCGCGCCGCCCGCGCCTCCCAGCGCCGCGGCGAGGGAGCCCGCCTCGGTGGGGTCGCCGAGCGGCGTGCCGGTGCCGTGCGCCTCGACGCCACCCACCGCCGTCGCCTCGCTCGCCGCCTTGCCCAGCGCCGCGAGGAGCAGGGCGCGCTGCGCCGACCCGTTGGGCGCCGTCAGGCTCGCGCTGCGCCCGTCCTGCCGCACCGCGCTCCCGCGCAGCGCGAGCCCGGCCTGGCTCGCCGCCGCGCCTCGCAGCACGAGCGCGGCGGCCGCCTCGGAGCGGACGTACCCGTTGGCTCGCGCGTCGAACGTCTTGCACCGCCCGTCGGCAGAGAGCATCCCCGCGGCGGCGGCGCCGAAGAAGGGCAGCGGGGACAGGTTGAGGCTGACCGCGCCGGCGAGCGACAGGCCGCACTCGCCGCCACCCGCCGCCAGCGCCGCACTGTGCAGCGCCACGAGGCCCGACGCGCAGGCCGCATCGACGCTCATGCAAGGCCCCTGCAGCCCGAGCGCAAAGGAGACGCGGCCGCAGGCGATGGAGATGGTGTCTCCAGTGACGGCGTAGGCAGAGGCGGAGGCGCCCGCCGGCCTGAGGGAGGCGAGCAGCGCCCAGTCGGGCCGCTCGATGCCGAGGAAGACGCCCGCGTCGCCGCCGAGCAGGCTCGCACGCCGCTCGCCCGCGCCGTGCAGCGCCGCGTAGCCCACCTCGAGGAAGAGCCGCTGCTGCGGGTCCATCGCCGCAGCCTCGGCGGGCGAGACGCCAAAGGAGCGGTTGTCAAAGTGCTCGACGCGGCAGAGGAAGCCGCCGTGCGAGGCGGCCGCGCGCTGCGTCTCGCTCACGCCCTCATGCTCCTCGACCGACCAGCGAGACGCGGGCGGTGCGCCGATGGCGTCGGCCGACGCGCTCAGCCCTGCCCACAGGGCGCCGCGCCCGCCGCTCGACGCGGGCCAGCGAGCCGCGAGGCCTTGCACGGTGAGAGCCAGCTGGGCCGAAGGAACGGTCGAGGGAGCGGCCACGGCAGCCTCAGTCCCAAGGAGCCGCCCCACCACGTGCGCCGCGATGGCGCGCGCCGACGGCTGGTCAAAGATGAGAGTCGGCGCGAGGGCGGCGCCCGTGGCCTCTCGGAGGCGGCTCACGGCCTCTGTAGCGCCGAGCGAGTCGATGCCCGCCTCCATGAGCGGCGTGTCGGCGGTGAGGCCGCCTGCGCCGGTCAGCTCCTCCAGCACCGACAGCACGGCCGCCTCGACGTGCGGCTGGCGCGCCGCGGGAGGCAGCCGCGAGAGCGCCCTGCCCATCTCGCTCTCCACCGCTGGCACGTCGGCGGCGGCGGCGGCTGAGTGCGATGGCGCAAAGGCGGAGAGCGCCTTTGGCACGACCGGGAGCAGGCCGAGGAAGCGGCTCCAGTCGACGAGGAGCAGCATCTGCACCGCGGGGCCAGCGGCGCCGAGGGAAGCCGCCAGGGCGGGGGCAGCCTCGGCAATGGTGATCAGGCCGTAGCCTCTCGCCTTCAGATGAGCACTGGCAGCCTCCCCTCCTGCCATGCCAACCTCGCCCCACGGGCCCCACTGCACCGACGAGGACGCGAGGCCGGCGGCACGTCGCAGCGCGCTCGTGGCGTCGAGGCAGCAGTTGGCAGCCGAGTAGTTGGCCGCTCCGCCTGCGATGAGGGCGGCGATGGACGAGAAGAGCACGCACGCGTCGAGCGGCGAGGCGGCGCTCGCTCGCTGCAGGCCCCAGCCGCCGACCGCCTTGGGAGCATACACGCGCCGGAAGGCCTGCGCCGTCTGGGAGCGGAGCAGGCCGTCTGCTAGCACGCCCGCCGCGTGCCACACGCCAGCGAGCCGCGCCCCATCGCCGCCAGCAGACGCCCAAGCAACCAAGCGCCGCACGTCCGCCTCCTCGGCCGCGTCGCACGCCGCAGCCCGCACGGCGCAGCCAGCCAGCGAGGCGAGGCGAGCGCTCTCTGCCGGCGCCACCCGCCCGCCCCGAGAGGCGAGGACCAAGCCCGCCGCCCCGCGATCGCCGAGCCACTTGGCGACGAGCAGGCCGACGCCGCTCGTGCCGCCCGTCAGCAGCTGGAGGCCGCCCACGCCGCTCGAGCCCTCTGGAAGCGCGTCGAGACGGCTCAGCCGCGGCACCCTCGCCCCGCCATAGCTGACAACAGCCTCCGGCTCGGCCGGGGGCAGCGCCGAGGCCACCGCCACCAGCTCCGCCGCCGAGAGTCCGGCGCCGTCGATGTGCGAGAGGCGGCTGCCCGGCGCCTCGGCTCTCGCCGTGCGGGCGAGGCCGAGGAGGCCGGCGTGCGAGGGGCGCACGCGTGCGGCGGCGCTGCAAGGCTGCGATCCGCCACTGCTGAGCAGCCACGCAGGGAGAGATTGCGAGGCAGGCTGCGAGAGCACGAAGCGGAGGGCCGCCTCGACCGCCGGCAGCGCCGAGGCCTTGGAGGCGGTGGCGAGCGCGACGGCGGCGGCGCCGGCCTCGAGCGGCAGAGGCGCGGCTGGGAGCGAGCCGACCGGCCTGGCGCGGGCGCCGAGGACGAGCGTGCGCAGTGCAGCAGCCGGGGCAGCGACGAGCGGGACGAACTCGGTGACGTAGCTGTGAGAGCTAGCAGCAGCCTCTACACTCGCAGCAGCCGCCTCGGCGCTTGGAGCAGCCTCGCGCCACGCGAAGCGGCGTCGCTTGTAGAGGAGTTGCGCCGGCGCGGCACCGCTGGTGCTGCTGAGAGGGGCCCGCCCCTCGAGCACGGCGTGTGCGATCGTGCCGCTATACCCAAACGAGCTCACCCCGACCACGCCCTCCCCTCCCCCCGCCAGCCGTGCGAGCCCCTGCGTCGGCAGCGCCGTCGGCCGCGCCGCCGCGCCGAGCCGCTCGCCCACGAGCGGGTTGAGCGACCGCAGCTGCGCGTTGCCCAGCCACGTCGAGCAGCCCACCGCCGCCGCCGCCTTGGCCAGCCCGAGCAGCCCCGACACCGGCTCGGCGTGGCCCGCATTCGCCTTGTGCGTCCCGAGGCAGAGAGCCGCGCCGCCCGCGCCTCCCAGCGCCGCGGCGAGGGAGCCCGCCTCGGTGGGGTCGCCGAGCGGCGTGCCGGTGCCGTGCGCCTCGACGCCACCCACCGCCGCCCCCTCGCTCGCCGCCTTGCCCAGCGCCGCGAGGAGCAGGGCGCGCTGCGCCGACCCGTTGGGCGCCGTCAGGCTCGCGCTGCGCCCGTCCTGCCGCACCGCGCTCCCGCGCAGCGCGAGCCCGGCCTGGCTCGCCGCCGCGCCTCGCAGCACGAGCGCGGCGGCCGCCTCGGAGCGGACGTACCCGTTGGCTCGCGCGTCGAACGTCTTGCACCGCCCGTCGGCAGAGAGCATCCCCGCGGCGGCGGCGCCAAAGAAGGGCAGCGGGGACAGCTTGAGGCTGACCGCGCCGGCGAGCGACAGGCCGCACTCGCCGCCGCCCGCCGCCAGCGCCGCACTGTGCAGCGCCACGAGGCCCGACGCGCAGGCCGCATCGACGCTCATGCAAGGCCCCTGCAGCCCGAGCGCAAAGGAGACGCGGCCGCAGGCGATGGAGATGGTGTCTCCAGTGACGGCGTAGGCAGAGGCGGCGGCGCCCGCCGGCCTGAGGGAGGCGAGCAGCGCCCAGTCGGGCCGCTCGATGCCGAGGAAGACGCCCGCGTCGCCGCCGAGCAGGCTCGCACGCCGCTCGCCCGCGCCGTGCAGCGCCGCGTAGCCCACCTCGAGGAAGAGACGCTGCTGCGGGTCCATCGCCGCCGCCTCGGCGGGCGAGACGCCAAAGGAGCGGTTGTCAAAGTGCTCGACGCGGCAGAGGAAGCCGCCGTGCGAGGCGGCCGCGCGCTGCGTGTCGCTCACGCCCTCGTGCTCCTCGACCGACCAGCGAGACGCGGGCGGTGCGCCGATGGCGTCGGCCGACGCGCTCAGCCCTGCCCACAGGGCGTCTCGCCCGCCGCTCGACGCGGGCCAGCGAGCCGCGAGGCCTTGCACGGTGAGAGCCAGCTGGGCCGACGCCGCGGTCGAGGGAGCGGCCGCGGCAGCCTCAGTCCCAGAGAGCCGCCCCACCACGTGCGCCGCGATGGCGCGCGCCGACGGCTCGTCAAAGATGAGAGTCGGCGCGAGGGCGGCGCCCGTGGCCTCTCGGAGGCGGCTCACGGCCTCTGTAGCGCCGAGCGAGTCGATGCCGGCCTCCATGAGCGGCGTGTCGGCGGTGAGGCCGCCTGCGCCGGTGAGGTCCTCCAGCACCGACAGCACGGCCGCCTCGACGTGCGGCTGGCGCGCCGCGGGAGGCAGCCGCGAGAGCGCCCTGCCCATCTCGCTCTCCACGGCTGGCACGGCGGCGGCGGCGGCGGCTGAGTGCGATGGCGCAAAGGCGGAGAGCGCCTTTGGCACGACCGGGAGCAGGCCGAGGAAGCGGCGCCAGTCGACGAGGAGCAGCATCTGCACCGCGGGGCCAGCGGCGCCGAGGGAAGCCGCCAGGGCGGGGGCAGCCTCGGCAATGGTGATCAGGCCGTAGCCTCTCGCCTTCAGATGAGCACTGGCAGCCTCCCCTCCTGCCATGCCAACCTCGCCCCACGGGCCCCACTGCACCGACGAGGACGCGAGGCCGACGGCACGCCGCAGCGCGCTCGTGGCGTCGAGGCAGCAGTTTGCAGCTGCGTAGTTGGCCTGGCCAGCGCTGCCGAGCAGCGCCGCCACCGACGAGAAGAGCACGCACGCGTCGAGCGGCGAGGCGGCGCTCGCTCGTTGCAGGCCCCAGCCGCCGACCGCCTTGGGAGCGTACACGCGCAGGAAGGCCTGCGCCGTCTGGGAGCGGAGCAGGCCGTCTGCTAGCACGCCCGCCGCGTGCCACACGCCAGCGAGCCGCGCCCCATCGCCGCCAGCAGACGCCCAAGCAACCAAGCGCCGCACGTCCGCCTCCTCGGCCGCATCGCACGCCGCAGCCCGCACCGCGCAGCCAGCCAGCGAGGCGAGGCGAGCGCTCTCTGCCGGCGCCACCCGCCCGCCCCGAGAGGCAAGGACCAAGCCCGCCGCCCCGCGATCACCGAGCCACTTGGCGACGAGCAGGCTGACGCCGCCAGTGCCGCCCGTCAGCAGCTGGAGGCCGCCCACGCCGCTCGAGCCCTCTGGAAGCGCGTCGAGACGGCTCAGCCGCGGCACCCTCGCCCCGCCGTAGCTGGCCACGGCCTCCGGCTCGGTCGGCGGCAGCGCCGAGGCCACCGCCACCAGCTCCGCCGCCGAGAGTCCGGCGCCGTCGACGTGCGAGAGGCGGCTGCCCGGCGCCTCGGCTCTCGCCGTGCGGGCGAGGCCGAGCAGGCCGGCGTGCGAGGGGCGCACGCGTGCGGCGGCGCTGCAAGGCTGCGATCCGCCACTGCTGAGCAGCCACGCAAGGAGAGGCTGCGAGGCAGGCTGCGAGAGCACGAAGCGGAGGGCCGCCTCGACCGCCGGCAGCGCCGAGGCCTTGGAGGCGGTGGCGAGCGCGACGGCGGCGGCGCCGGCCTCGAGCGGGAGAGGCGCGGTTGGGAGCGAGATGACCGGCCTGGCGCGGGCGCCGAGGACGAGCGTGGGCAGTGCTGCAGCCGGGGCAGCGACGAGCGGGACGAACTCGGTGGCGTAGCGGTGAGAGCGAGCAGCAGCCTCTACACTCGCAGCAGCCACCTCGGCGCTTGGAGCAGCCTCGCGCCACGCGAAGCGGCGTCGCTTGTAGCGAAGGGGCGTCGTCGCGTCACCGTTGGGGCTACTAAGAGAAGGCAACGCCGCCTCGAGCACAGCGTGTGCGATCGTGCCGCTGTACCCAAACGAGCTCACCCCGACCACGCCCTCCCCTCCCCCCGCCCGCCGTGCCAGCCCCTGCGTCGGCAGCACCGTCGGCCGCGCCGCCGCGCCGAGCCGCTCGCCCACGAGCGGGTTGAGCGACCGCAGCTGCGCGTTGCCCAGCCACGTCGAGCAGCCCACCGCCGCCGCCGCCTTGGCCAGCCCGAGCAGCCCCGACACCGGCTCGGCGTGGCCCGCATTCGCCTTGTGCGTCCCGAGGCAGAGAGCCGCGCCGCCCGCGCCTCCCAGCGCCGCGGCGAGGGAGCCCGCCTCGGTGGGGTCGCCGAGCGGCGTGCCGGTGCCATGCGCCTCGACGCCAGCCACCGCCGTCGCCTCGCTCGCCGCCTTGCCGAGCGCCGCGAGGAGCAGGGCGCGCTGCGCCGACCCGTTGGGCGCCGTCAGGCTCGCGCTGCGCCCGTCCTGCCGCACCGCGCTCCCGCGCAGCGCGAGCCCGGCCTGGCTCGCCGCCGCGCCTCGCAGCACGAGCGCGGCGGCCGCCTCGGAGCGGACGTACCCGTTGGCTCGCGCGTCGAACGTCTTGCACCGCCCGTCGACAGAGAGCATCCCCGCGGCGGCGGCGCCAAAGAAGGGCAGCGGGGACAGCTTGAGGCTGACCGCGCCGGCGAGCGACAGGCCGCACTCGCCGCCGCCCGCCGCCAGCGCCGCACTGTGCAGCGCCACGAGGCCCGACGCGCAGGCCGCATCGACGCTCATGCAAGGCCCCTGCAGCCCGAGCGCAAAGGAGACGCGGCCGCAGGCGATGGAGATGGTGTCTCCAGTGACGGCGTAGGCAGAGGCGGAGGCGCCCGCCGGCCTGAGGGAGGCGAGCAGCGCCCAGTCGGGCCGCTCGATGCCGAGGAAGACGCCCGCGTCGCCGCCGAGCAGGCTCGCACGCCGCTCGCCCGCGCCGTGCAGCGCCGCGTAGCCCACCTCGAGGAAGAGCCGCTGCTGCGGGTCCATCGCCGCAGCCTCGGCGGGCGAGACGCCAAAGGAGCGGTTGTCAAAGTGCTCGACGCGGCAGAGGAAGCCGCCGTGCGAGGCGGCCGCGCGCTGCGTCTCGCTCACGCCCTCATGCTCCTCGACCGACCAGCGAGACGCGGGCGGTGCGCCGATGGCGTCGGCCGACGCGCTCAGCCCTGCCCACAGGGCGCCGCGCCCACCGCTCGACGCGGGCCAGCGAGCCGCGAGGCCTTGCACGGTGAGAGCCAGCTGGGCCGACGCCGCGGTCGAGGGAGCGGCAGCGGCAGCCTCAGTCCCAAGGAGCCGCCCCACCACGTGCGCCGCGATGGCGCGCGCCGACGGCTGGTCAAAGATGAGAGTCGGCGCGAGGGCGGCGCCCGTGGCCTCTCGGAGGCGGCTCACGGCCTCTGTAGCGCCGAGCGAGTCGATGCCGGCCTCCATGAGCGGCGTGTCGGCGGTGAGGCCGCCTGCGCCGGTGAGGTCCTCCAGCACCGACAGCACGGCCGCCTCGACGTGCGGCTGGCGCGCCGCGGGAGGCAGCCGCGAGAGCGCCCTGCCCATCTCGCTCTCCACGGCTGGCACGGCGGCGGCGGCGGCGGCTGAGTGCGACGGCGCAAAGGCGGAGAGCGCCTTTGGCACGACCGGGAGCACGCCGAGGAAGCGGCGCCAGTCGACGAGGAGCAGCATCTGCACCGCGGGGCCGGCGGCGCCGAGGGAAGCCGCCAGGGCGGGGGCAGCCTCGGCAAGGGTGATCAGGGTAAAGCCGGACGCCTGTATGCGCGCGTTGATCGACTCTTCTGCCGCCATGCCAACCTCGCCCCACGGGCCCCACTGCACCGACGAGGACGCGAGGCCGACGGCACGCCGCAGCGCGCTCGTGGCGTCGAGGCAGCAGTTTGCAGCTGCGTAGTTGGCCTGGCCAGCGCTGCCGAGCAGCGCCGCCACCGACGAGAAGAGCACGCACGCGTCGAGCGGCGAGGCGGCGCTCGCTCGTTGCAGGCCCCAGCCGCCGACCGCCTTGGGAGCGTACACGCGCAGGAAGGCCTGCGCCGTCTGGGAGCGGAGCAGGCCGTCTGCTAGCACGCCCGCCGCGTGCCACACGCCAGCGAGCCGCGCCCCATCGCCGCCAGCAGACGCCCAAGCAACCAAGCGCCGCACGTCCGCCTCCTCGGCCGCATCGCACGCCGCAGCCCGCACCGCGCAGCCAGCCAGCGAGGCGAGGCGAGCGCTCTCTGCCGGCGCCACCCGCCCGCCCCGAGAGGCAAGGACCAAGCCCGCCGCCCCGCGATCACCGAGCCACTTGGCGACGAGCAGGCTGACGCCGCCAGTGCCGCCCGTCAGCAGCTGGAGGCCGCCCACGCCGCTCGAGCCCTCTGGAAGCGCGTCGAGACGGCTCAGCCGCGGCACCCTCGCCCCGCCGTAGCTGGCCACGGCCTCCGGCTCGGTCGGCGGCAGCGCCGAGGCCACCGCCACCAGCTCCGCCGCCGAGAGTCCGGCGCCGTCGACGTGCGAGAGGCGGCTGCCCGGCGCCTCGGCTCTCGCCGTGCGGGCGAGGCCGAGCAGGCCGGCGTGCGAGGGGCGCACGCGTGCGGCGGCGCTGCAAGGCTGCGATCCGCCACTGCTGAGCAGCCACGCAAGGAGAGGCTGCGAGGCAGGCTGCGAGAGCACGAAGCGGAGGGCCGCCTCGACCGCCGGCAGCGCCGAGGCCTTGGAGGCGGTGGCGAGCGCGACGGCGGCGGCGCCGGCCTCGAGCGGGAGAGGCGCGGTTGGGAGCGAGATGACCGGCCTGGCGCGGGCGCCGAGGACGAGCGTGGGCAGTGCTGCAGCCGGGGCAGCGACGAGCGGGACGAACTCGGTGGCGTAGCGGTGAGAGCGAGCAGCAGCCTCTACACTCGCAGCAGCCACCTCGGCGCTTGGAGCAGCCTCGCGCCACGCGAAGCGGCGTCGCTTGTAGCGAAGGGGCGTCGTCGCGTCACCGTTGGGGCTACTAAGAGAAGGCAACGCCGCCTCGAGCACAGCGTGTGCGATCGTGCCGCTGTACCCAAACGAGCTCACCCCGACCACGCCCTCCCCTCCCCCCGCCCGCCGTGCCAGCCCCTGCGTCGGCAGCACCGTCGGCCGCGCCGCCGCGCCGAGCCGCTCGCCCACGAGCGGGTTGAGCGACCGCAGCTGCGCGTTGCCCAGCCACGTCGAGCAGCCCACCGCCGCCGCCGCCTTGGCCAGCCCGAGCAGCCCCGACACCGGCTCGGCGTGGCCCGCATTCGCCTTGTGCGTCCCGAGGCAGAGAGCCGCGCCGCCCGCGCCTCCCAGCGCCGCGGCGAGGGAGCCCGCCTCGGTGGGGTCGCCGAGCGGCGTGCCGGTGCCGTGCGCCTCGACGCCACCCACCGCCGCCGCCTCGCTCGCCGCCTTGCCGAGCGCCGCGAGGAGCAGGGCGCGCTGCGCCGACCCGTTGGGCGCCGTCAGGCTCGCGCTGCGCCCGTCCTGCCGCACCGCGCTCCCGCGCAGCGCGAGCCCGGCCTGGCTCGCCGCCGCGCCTCGCAGCACGAGCGCGGCGGCCGCCTCGGAGCGGACGTACCCGTTGGCCCCCGCGTCGAACGTCTTGCACCGCCCGTCGACAGAGAGCATCCCCGCGGCGGCGGCGCCAAAGAAGGGCAGCGGGGACAGCTTGAGGCTGACCGCGCCGGCGAGCGACAGGCCGCACTCGCCGCCGCCCGCCGCCAGCGCCGCACTGTGCAGCGCCACGAGGCCCGACGCGCAGGCCGCATCGACGCTCATGCAAGGCCCCTGCAGCCCGAGCGCAAAGGAGACGCGGCCGCAGGCGATGGAGATGGTGTCTCCAGTGACGGCGTAGGCAGAGGCGGAGGCGCCCGCCGGCCTGAGGGAGGCGAGCAGCGCCCAGTCGGGCCGCTCGATGCCGAGGAAGACGCCCGCGTCGCCGCCGAGCAGGCTCGCACGCCGCTCGCCCGCGCCGTGCAGCGCCGCGTAGCCCACCTCGAGGAAGAGACGCTGCTGCGGGTCCATCGCCGCAGCCTCGGCGGGCGAGACGCCAAAGGAGCGGTTGTCAAAGTGCTCGACGCGGCAGAGGAAGCCGCCGTGCGAGGCGGCCGCGCGCTGCGTGTCGCTCACGCCCTCGTGCTCCTCGACCGACCAGCGAGACGCGGGCGGTGCGCCGATGGCGTCGGCCGACGCGCTCAGCCCTGCCCACAGGGCGCCGCGCCCGCCGCTCGACGCGGGCCAGCGAGCCGCGAGGCCTTGCACGGTGAGAGCCAGCTGGGCCGAAGGAACGGTCGAGGGAGCGGCCACGGCAGCCTCAGTCCCAAGGAGCCGCCCCACCACGTGCGCCGCGATGGCGCGCGCCGACGGCTGGTCAAAGATGAGAGTCGGCGCGAGGGCGGCGCCCGTGGCCTCTCGGAGGCGGCTCACGGCCTCTGTAGCGCCGAGCGAGTCGATGCCGGCCTCCATGAGCGGCGTGTCGGCGGTGAGGCCGCCTGCGCCGGTCAGCTCCTCCAGCACCGACAGCACGGCCGCCTCGACGTGCGGCTGGCGCGCCGCGGGAGGCAGCCGCGAGAGCGCCCTGCCCATCTCGCTCTCCACGGCTGGCACGGCGGCGGCGGCGGCGGCTGAGTGCGATGGCGCAAAGGCGGAGAGCGCCTTTGGCATGGCCGGGAGCACGCCGAGGAAGCGGCTCCAGTCGACGAGGAGCAGCATCTGCACCGCGGGGCCGGCGGCGCCGAGGGAAGCCGCCAGGGCGGGGGCAGCCTCGGCAAGGGTGATCAGGGTAAAGCCGGACGCCTGTATGCGCGCGTTGATCGACTCCTCCGCCGCCATGCCAACCTCGCCCCACGGGCCCCACTGCACCGACGAGGAGGCGAGGCCGACGGCACGCCGCAGCGCGCTCGTGGCGTCGAGGCAGCAGTTTGCAGCTGCGTAGTTGGCCTGGCCAGCGCTGCCGAGCAGCGCCGCCACCGACGAGAAGAGCATGCACGCGTCGAGCGGCGAGGCGGCGCTCGCTCGCTGCAGGCCCCAGCCGCCGACCGCCTTGGGAGCGTACACGCGCCGGAAGGCCTGCGCCGTGTGGGAGCGGAGCAGGCCGTCTGCTAGCACGCCCGCCGCGTGCCACACGCCAGCGAGCCGCGCCCCATCGCCGCCAGCAGACGCCCTAGCAACGAGGCGCCGCACCTCCGCCTCCTCGGCCGCATCGCACGCCGCAGCCCGCACGGCGCAGCCAGCCAGCGAGGCGAGGCGAGCGCTCTCTGCCGGCGCCACCCGCCCGCCCCGAGAGGCGAGGACCAAGCCCGCCGCCCCGCGATCGCCGAGCCACTTGGCGACGAGCAGGCCGACGCCGCTCGTGCCGCCCGTCAGCAGCTGGAGGCCGCCCACGCCGCTCGAGCCCTCTGGAAGCGCGTCGAGACGGCTCAGCCGCGGCACCCTCGCCCCGCCATAGCTGACAACAGCCTCCGGCTCGGCCGGGGGCAGCGCCGAGGCCACCGCCACCAGCTCCGCCGCCGAGAGTCCGGCGCCGTCGATGTGCGAGAGGCGGCTGCCCGGCGCCTCGGCTCTCGCCGTGCGGGCGAGGCCGAGCAGGCCGGCGTGCGAGGGGCGCACGCGTGCGGCGGCGCTGCAAGGCTGCGATCCGCCACTGCTGAGCAGCCACGCAGGGAGAGATTGCGAGGCAGGCTGCGAGAGCACGAAGCGGAGGGCCGCCTCGACCGCCGGCAGCGCCGAGGCCTTGGAGGCGGTGGCGAGCGCGACGGCGGCGGCGCCGGCCTCGAGCGGCAGAGGCGCGGCTGGGAGCGAGCCGACCGGCCTGGCGCGGGCGCCGAGGACGAGCGTGCGCAGTGCAGCAGCCGGGGCAGCGACGAGCGGGACGAACTCGGTGACGTAGCTGTGAGAGCTAGCAGCAGCCTCTACACTCGCAGCAGCCGCCTCGGCGCTTGGAGCAGCCTCGCGCCACGCGAAGCGGCGTCGCTTGTAGCGAAGGGGCGTCGTCGCGGCACCGCTGGTGCTGCTGAGAGAAGGCGGCGCCGCCTCGAGCACGGCGTGGGCGATGGTGCCGCTGTACCCAAACGAGCTCACGCCCCCCCGCCTGCCCGCCGCGGCATCCAGCCCTCGCGCCAGCTGCGTCGGCAGCGCGCACGCCACGCCCTCCACCGCAGAGCCGACGTGCGGGTTGATGCGCCGCAGCTGTGCGTTTGGCGGGGCCTGCGCCTCGAGCAGCCCCGCCGCCAGCCGTAGCTGCCCCGCCAGCCCCGCCGCAGGCTCGGCGTGGCCGCAGTTCGCCTTGAGGCTGCCCACGCAGAGCGGCGGCGACGGCGCGCGCGCAGCCAGCACCGCCGCCGTCAGCGAGCGCACCTCGATCGGGTCGCCGAGCGGCGTGCCTGTGCCGTGCGCCTCGTAGGCCGAGAGGGCGGCGGGCTCGACGCCTCCGTCGGCGAGGGCGGCCCGCAGCAGCGCCTGCTGCGCCTGCCCGTTGGGCGCGGTGAGGCTCGCGCTCTTGCCGTCCTGCCGCACGCAGCTGCCGAGGAGGGAGAGCTCTAAGAAGCCGCTGCTCTCTTCGCGCATCGCAAGCACCGCCGCGCAGCACCCCTCGCCGCGAGCGTACCCGTCCGCCGCAGCGTCAAAGGTGTGGCAGCGGCCGGTCGGCGACGTCATGCCGGCAACCGCAAACGAGAAGCCGACAACGGGCAGCAGCATCAGGTTCACGCCGACCGAGAGGGCGGGGGAGCACTCGTCCAGCTGCAGGGCTCGCAGCGCGGCGTGGTTGGCGACCAGCGCCGCCGAGCAGGCGGTGTCGTACGAGACGCACGGGCCCTGCAGACCGAGCACAAACGAGAGGCGGCCGGCCGCGACCGACATCGCCCCGCCTGTGGCGGCGTACACGCTCTTGCCGGCTGCAGACTGCGCCGCGACGCTCTGCCAGTCGTTGGCGGCGATGCCGAGAAAGACGCCCGCCAGGCTGCCGCCCAGCGCCGCCTTGTCCATGCCCGCGCCGTGCAAGGCCTCGTAGCCTCGCTCGAGGAGCAGCCGCTGCTGCGGGTCGACGGCGGCCGCCTCGGCGGGCGAGACGCCGAAGCGAGCATTGTCGAAGAGGTCGGCGCCGCTCAGGAAGCCGCCGTGCCGCACTCGCTGGCCGACGACCTGGTCCACGCCAGCCAAAGCAGCCTCCACCGACCACCGCTCCGGCGGCACCTCGCCAATGCCGTCGCTGCTCGCAGCGGCGATTTGGCGCAGCTGCGACAGCGTCGCGATGCCGCTCGGCAGGCTGGCGGCGAGACTGAGCGCCCAAGCCTGGCCACCGCTATGGGCGGCCGCTTGAGCCGCTGGGCCGCCTGCAGCTCTGCCTCCTTCGGCCGCGTCCGCCGCCTGCTCCTTCAAGTAGCCCGCGAGCTGGCGCGCCGTCGGGTAGTCGAAGACGAGCGTCGACGGCAGCGCCGCGCCCGACATCGACCGCAGCTGGTTGCCGAGCTCGACCGCGCCGAGCGAGTCGAGCCCCGACTCCATCAGCGGCGCGTCGGCGTCCGCCTCTGCACCCGCCGTCGCCTTGACCACTTGCAGGATCGCCTCGAGCGTCACCGCCCGCACCTCGCCTTGCGCATCACGAGAGACGGCAGCCGCGCCAGCCGCCCTCCGGCCCGAATAGCTGACGAGCAGCGGCGGCACCTCTGGCATCGCGCCGAGGAACTTGCCCCAAGTGAGCACCACCAGGCTCATCACGCCGGAGACAGCAGGCTGCAGCGTTGCCTGGAGGGCGAGCGCGCCCTGCTCCAAGCTGATGAGGCCGATACCGCTGGCCTGGAGGCGAGCGTTGATCGACTCGTCCGCCGCCATGCCGACGGCCGCCCACGGGCCCCACTGCACCGACGTCGCGTTTATGGCGCGAACGCGCCGGCAGGCGCCGAGCGCGTCGAGCATGCCGTTGGCGGCGGCGTAGTTGGACTGGCCGCCCGCGCCGATCAGCGCGGCGATGGACGAGAAAAGCACGCACGTGTCGAGCGGCGTCGTGGCGGCCGCCCGCTGCAGCGCCCACGCGCCGGCAACCTTGGGCGCGAAGACGCGCTTGATGGTCGAAGCGTTCTGGCCGCGCAGCAGCCCGTCCGACAGCACGCCCGCCGCGTGCCACACGCCCGCCAGCGGGCTGCCCTTGGCCACGATGGCGCCAACCATGCGAGCCGAGTCCACCAGCTCGGCCGCGTCGCACTTGACCACGCTGAAGCTGCACTCGGCGATCTTCTTGAGCTTCTCGCCGTCCGCGGGGGCGACCTTGCCGCCGCGGGCCGCGAGCACCACCGAAGAGGCGCCGCTCTCGCCGAGCCACCTGCCCGTGACCAGGCCAAGGCCGCCCGTGCCGCCAGAGAGCAGGTGGGCGCCGCGTGGCGGCGTCGGGGCCGTCTTCGGGATGCGCACCACCACCTTGCCCGTGTTGGTGCCGCTCTGGAGCGTGCGGAAGGCGGCCAGGACGTCCCTTTCCAGGTCGAAGAGCTCCATGGGCAGGCCGTGGAGCACGAACGCATCTGCGCGCGCCGTGAGTGTCCGCAACGTGCCGCACATCCACCACGGCGTCTGGTCAATCGTCGAGTCGAGCGCGATCATCGTGAAATCGTTGGAGCACGCCGCCTCGTGCCGCTCGTAGCTCCACACCGCCCGCTTGCCGATCTCGCAGAGCGCGCCGTCCTGCCGCAGCAGCGCGAAGGTGCACGCGATGAAGTCCGCAGACAGGCTGTTGAGCGAGAAGCGCAGCCGGCGGGAGCCGAGCAGCTTCGACGCGCCGAGCGCAAAGGCGCTGCCGTCGCGTGAGCTGAGCGTGCGGCCGGCGAGGCCCATCTTGTGCAGGTAGAAGTGCTTGTACGGCCGGCCGACGTTCGCCATCGCGCGGTTGCCGATGAAGAGGCAGTACTCTTGCGAGGTCAGGCCGACGCCACCGGCGCCGGCGTGCAGAAGCACGTCGTGGCCAGCCGCCGGCCGGGCCGCGAGCAGCGACATGTGCACCGTGCTCCACGTCGTCGGCAGAGTGCACGCCTGATCGAACGAGAGCGAGTCTGTGATGGCCGCCATCAGGCGCGCGTCGGACTTGGACAGAGACGCGAGCGCAGCGATGCCGTGCCCGAGCGCCGCGTCGCCAACCGACAAGTGACCGACGCCGCCCCCAGTGGCAGCGACGTGGGCGGCGCAGTCGCCGCCGGGCGGGCCCGGGTCGCCAGGGTAGGCGCCGAGCACGTTGAGCACGTCGCGGAAGTTGAGGCCGACCGCGCCGACGCGCAGCCTGACCTCACCGTGCGCTGGCTCCGACTCGTCGCCCTCCTGCGGCACCAGCCTCAGGTTGCTTATCGCCCCTCTCGCGTCGAAGTGGAGCCGGATCGGACCGCCCAGCGAGCCGGCCGCCTCGGTCAGGCGCGGCACGCGCTGGCTCGAGCCGTTGAAGGCCACCTCGGGCTCGGGCGTGCCGTTGTAGCCGAGGCCGAGCTTGCCGGCCAGCTTCGACACCGCTGCCAGCTCGGCCGTGCCCGGCCGAAGCACGTCCAGGTCGATGATCGGCAGGCGCGACGCCGGCGCCTCGGCGCGCGCTGAGCGGGCCAGGCCCAGCAGCCCGGCGTGGCTCGAGGCTCCGGCCGCCGTCGGGCGGGCGGCGAGGGTGCAAGAGGTCAGCATCCACACCGGCGCCGATGCCGCGGCCAACGTGTGCGCTCGGGCGGCGACAAAGGAAGAGGCGAGACCGGCGAGAGCGTCAGAGGCGAGGGCGCCGCCGGCGAGGCTGGTGGCTAGGAGCAGGGAGGAGGGCGGTGGCCTCGATATTGGTGCGCCGCTTGCAGCTGCGCCGCCGCGCTTCACAGAAGGCGCCGCGTGCACCACCAGCGCGGCCGGCGCAGCCTCGAACGCCTCAGCGCTCCTCTCCCACGAGGTGACGTACAGGTGCGTCGCCCTCGCCGCCGGCGCAGCCCCCAACGACGCCTTGAGCGCACGCGACTCGAAGCCGGCCAGGCGCACGCCCGCCGAGGCGGCGCCGCTGGCGATGACCACCCCGACCGCCCCGACGCCCTCCCGCTCCGCCACCGGCCACGCCGTGCCGCTCGCATCCGCCAGCGCCGCCTCGCCCACAGAGAAGGGCAGCCGCGTCTCGCCCTCCGCCGTCAAGGCGAGCAGCGAGGACAGGTGCAGCGAGCCGTCGAGGTCGGCCGGGTGGACGCGAGTGCCCTCCTTGCGCGAGCGGCGGCACAGCCGGCCGACGGCGGCGCCGGCGGCGCGCGAGACGGCCGCCAGCTCGAGCGTGCGGTACCGAGGGCCGTACTCGAGGCCGACCGAGCGGAGCAGCGAGTAGAGCGAGGCGGCGTCGACCGCCTCGCCGCACGAGGCGCGAGCCGCGGCGAGCGAGAGGCCAAGGAGCGGACCCGACGCGGCCGACGCGTCGCCGGCGCAGTGAGCCGTCGACGTGTCGCCGCCTCCCTCGTAGGTCACCTCGAACCGGTCCTCGATCACGCCCACCCGCACCCGCGCCTCGCTCAGGCCGCCGTCGAGCACGAGCGGCTGCAGGAAGAGGACGCGCCGCAGCGACGCGCCTCCGCCGCCGCCGGAGAGGGCGACGCACGCCGCGCGAGCCATCTCGAGGTAGGCGGCGGCGGGGAAGACGACGCGGCCCCGCACGACGTGGTCGGCGACGAGGGCGAGGAGGGGCCCGCTGGCCGGCGAGGAGAAGGCGTCGGCCTGCCGCCCTTCGGCGTCCGCCTCTCGCCGCTGGAGGAGCGGGTGGGGCGCCTCGCGCCACGCGTAGCGGCGGCGGGCGTAGGCGAGCGGCGGCGAGCTGCTGGTGCTGAGGGAGGGCGCCGCCGCCTCGAGCACAGCGTGGGCGATCGTACCGCTGTACCCAAACGAGCTCACGCCGCCCCTCCCGCCCGCCGCGGCATCCAGCCCCCGCGCCAGCTGCGTCGGCAGCGCGCACGCCACGCCCTCCACCGCAGAGCCGACGTGCGGGTTGATGCGCCGCAGCTGCGCGTTGGGCGGCGCTCGCGCCTCGAGCAGCCCCGCCGCCAGCCGGAGCAGCCCCGCCAGCCCCGCCGCAGGCTCGGCGTGGCCGCAGTTCGCCTTGAGGCTGCCCACGCAGAGCGGCGGCGACGGCGCGCGCGCAGACAGCACCGCCGCCGCCAGCGAGCGCACCTCGATCGGGTCGCCGAGCGGCGTGCCGGTGCCGTGCGCCTCGTAGCACGAGAGGGCGGCGGGCTCGACGCCTCCGTCGGCGAGGGCGGCCCGCAGCAGCGCCTGCTGCGCCTGCCCGTTGGGCGCGGTGAGGCTCGCGCTCTTGCCGTCCTGCCGCACGCAGCTGCCGAGGAGGGAGAGCCCGGAGCTGCTGCTCTCTCTGTCCATCGCCAGCACCGCCGCGCAGCACGCCTCGCCGCGAACGTACCCGTCCGCCGCAGCGTCAAAGGTGTGGCAGCGGCCGGTCGGCGACGTCATGCCGGCAACCGCAAACGAGAAGCCGACAACGGGCAGCAGCATCAGGTTCACGCCGACCGAGAGGGCGGGGGAGCACTCGTCCAGCTGCAGGGCTCGCAGCGCGGCGTGGGTGGCGACCAGCGCCGCCGAGCAGGCGGTGTCGTACGAGACGCACGGGCCCTGCAGACCGAGCACAAACGAGAGGCGGCCGGCCGCGACCGACATCGACCCGCCGGTGGCGGCGTACACGCTCCTGCCGATGGGAGACTGCGCCGCGACGCTCTGCCAATCGTTGGCGGCGATGCCGAGAAAGACGCCCGCCAGGCTGCCGCCCAGCGCCGCCTTGTCCATGCCCGCGCCGTGCAAGGCCTCGTAGCCTCGCTCGAGGAGCATCCGCTGCTGCGGGTCGACGGCGGCCGCCTCGGCGGGCGAGACGCCGAAGCGAGCATTGTCGAAGAGGTCGGCGCCGCTCAGGAAGCCGCCGTGCCGCACTCGCTGGCCGACGACCTGGTCCACGCCAGCCAAAGCAGCCTCCACCAACCACCGCTCCGGCGGCACCTCGGCAATGCCGTCGCTGCTCGCAGCGGCCAGGTGGCGCAGCTGCGACAGCGTCGCGATGCCGCTCGGCAGGCTGGCGGCGAGGCTGAGCGCCCAAGCCTGGCCACCGCTATGGGCGGCCGCTTGAGCCGCTGGGCCGCCTGCAGCCCTGCCTCCTTCGGCCGCGTCCTTCACTTGCTCCTTCAAGTAGCCCGCCAGCTGGCGCGCCGTCGGGTAGTCGAAGACGAGCGTCGACGGCAGCGCCGCGCCCGACATCGACCGAAGCTGGTTGCCGAGCTCGACCGCGCCGAGCGAGTCGAGCCCCGACTCCATCAGCGGCGCGTCGGCGTCCGCCTCTGTACCCGCCGTCGCCTTGACCACCTGCAGGATCGCCTCGAGCGTCACCGCCCGCACCTCGCCTTGCGCATCACGAGAGACGGCAGCCGCGCCAGCCGCCCTCCGGCCTGAGTAGCTGACGAGCAGCGGCGGCACCTCTGGCATCGCGCCGAGGAACTTGCTCCAAGTGAGCACCACCAGGCTCATCACGCCAGACACGGCAGGCTGCAGCGTGGCCTGGAGGGCGAGCGTGCCCTGCTCCAGGCTGATGAGGCCGAGGCCGCCGGCCTGGAGGCGAGCGTTGATCGACTCGTCCGCCGCCATGCCGACGGCCGCCCACGGGCCCCACTGCACCGACGTCGCGTTCATGGCGCGAACGCGCCGGCAGGCGCCGAGCGCGTCGAGCATGCCGTTGGCGGCGGCGTAGTTGGACTGGCCGCCCCCGCCGATCAGCGCGGCGATGGACGAGAAGAGCACGCACGTGTCGAGCGGCGTCGTGGCGGCCGCCCGCTGCAGCGCCCACGCGCCGGCAACCTTGGGCGCAAAGACGCGCTTGATTGTCGAAGCGTTCTGGCCGCGCAGCAGCCCGTCCGACAGCACGCCCGCCGCGTGCCACACGCCCGCCAGCGGGCTGCCCTTGGCCACGACGGCGCCAACCACGCGAGCCGTGTCCGTCAGCTCGGCCGCGTCGCACTTGACCACGCTGAAGCTGCACTCGGCGATCTTCTTGAGCTTCTCGCCGTCCGCGGGGGCGACCTTGCCGCCGCGGGCCGCGAGCACCACCGAAGAGGCGCCGCTCTCGCCGAGCCACCTTCCCGTGACCAGGCCGAGGCCGCCCGTGCCGCCAGAGAGCAGATGGGCCCCGCGTGGCGGCGTCGGGGCCGTCTTCGGGATGCGCACCACCACCTTGCCCGTGTTGGTGCCGCTCTGCAGCGTGCGGAAGGCGGCCAGGACGTCCCTCTCGAGGTCGAAGAGCTGCATGGGCAGGCCGTGGAGCACGGAGGCATCCGCACGCGCCGACAGCGTCCGCAGCGTGCCGCACATCCACCACGGCGTCTGCTCAATCGTCGAGTCGAGCGCGATCATCGTGAAATCGTTGGAGCACGCCGCCTCGTGCCGCTCGTAGCTCCACACCGCCCGCTTGCCGATCTCGCAGAGCGCGCCGTCCTGCCGCAGCAGCGCGAAGGTGCACGCGATGAAGTCCGCAGACAGGCTGTTGAGCGAGAAGCGCAGCCGGCCGGAGCCGAGCAGCTTCGACGCGCCGAGCGCAAAGGCGCTGCCGTCGCGCGAGCTGAGCGTGCGGCCGGCGAGGCCCATCTTGTGCAGGTAGAAGTGCTTGTACGGCCGGCCGACGTTCGCCATCGCGCGGTTGCCGATGAAGTAGCAGTACTCTTGCGAGGTCAGGCCGACACCACCAGCGCCGGCGTGCAGCAGCACGTCGTGGCCAGCCGCCGGCCGGGCCGCGAGCAGCGACATGTGCACCGTGCTCCACGTCGTCGGCAGAGTGCACGCCTCCTCGAACGAGAGCGAGTCGGTGATGGCCGCCATCAGGCGCGCGTCGGACTTGGACAGAGACGCGAGCGCAGCGATGCCGTGCCCGAGCGCCGCGTCGCCAACCGACAAGTGACCGACGCCGCCCCCAGTGGCAGCGACGTGGGCGGCGCAGTCGCCGCCGGGCGGGCCCGGGTCGCCCGGGTAGGCGCCGAGCACGTTGAGCACGTCGCGGAAGTTGAGGCCGACAGCGCCGACGCGCAGCTTGACCTCACCGTGCGCTGGCTCCGACTCGTCGCTAGACTGCGGCACCAGCCTCAGGTTGCTCACCGCCCCTCTCGCGTCAAAGTGAAGCCGGATCGGGCCGCCCAGCGAGCCGGCCGCCTCGGTCAGGCGCGGCACGCGCTGGCTCGAGCCGTCAAAGGCCACCTCGGGCTCGGGCGTGCCGTTGTAGCCGAGACCGAGCTTGCCGGCCAGCTTCGACACCGCTGCCAGCTCGGCCGTGCCCGGCCGGAGCACGTCCAGGTCGATGATCGGCAGGCGCGACGCCGGCGCCTCGGCGCGCGCTGAGCGGGCCAGGCCCAGCAGCCCGGCGTGGCTCGAGGCTCCGGCCGCCGTGGGGCGGGCGGCGAGGGCGCAAGAGGTGAGCATCCACACCGGCGCCGATGCCGCGGTCAAGGTGTGCGCTCGGGCGGCGACAAAGGAAGAGGCGAGACCGGCGAGAGCGTCAGAGGCGAGGGCGCCGCCGGCGAGGCTGGTGGCTAGGAGCAGTGAGGAGGGCGGTGGCCTCGATATTGGTGCGCCGCTTGCAGCTGCGCCGCCGCGCTTCCCAGAAGGCGCCGAGTGCACCACCAGCGCGGCCGGGGCAGCCTCGAACGCCTCAGCGCTCCTCTCCCACGAGGTGACGTACAGGTGCGTCGCCCTCGCCGCCGACGCCTTGAGCGCACGCGACTCGAAGCCGGCCAGGCGCACGCCCGCCGAGCCGGCGCCGCTGGCGACGACCACCCCGACCGCCCCGCCGCCCTCCCGCTCCGCCACCGGCCACGCCGTGCCGCTCGCATCCGCCAGCGCCGCCTCGCCCACAGAGAAGGGCAGCCGCGTCTCGCCCGCCCCAGCCTCGGCGAGCAGCGAGGACAGGTGCAGCGAGCCGTCGAGGTCGGCCGGGTGGACGCGAGTGCCCTCCTTGCGCGAGCGGCGGCACAGCCGGCCGACGGCGGCGCCTGCGGCGCGCGAGACGGCCGCCAGCTCGAGCGTGCGGTACCGAGGGCCGTACTCGAGGCCGACCGAGCGGAGCAGCGAGTAGAGCGAGGCGGCGTCGACCGCCTCGCCGCACGAGGCGCGAGCCGCGGCGAGCGAGAGGCCAAGGAGCGGACCCGACGCGGCCGACGCGTCGCCGGCGCAGTGAGCCGTCGACGTGTCGCCGCCTCCCTCGTAGGTCACCTCGAACCGATCCTCGATCACACCCACCCGCACCTCGCTCAGGCCGCCGTCCAGCACGAGCGGCTGCAGGAAGAAGACGCGCCGCAGCGACGCGCCTCTGCCGCCGCCGGAGAGGGCGACGCAAGCCGCGCGAGCCATCTCGAGGTAGGCGGCGCCGGGGAAGACGACGCGGCCCCGCACGACGTGGTCGGCGACGAGGGCGAGGAGGGGCCCGCTGGCTGGCGAGGAGAAGGCGTCCGCCTGCCGCCCAACGGCGTCCGCCTCTCGCCGCTGGAGGAGCGGGTGGGGCGCCTCGCGCCACGCGTAGCGGCGGCGGGCGTAGGCGAGCGGCGGCGGGCTGCTCGTGCCGCGAGAGGGCGGCGCCGCCTCGAGCACGGCGTGTGCGATCGTGCCGCTGTACCCAAACGAGCTCACCCCGACCACGCCCTCCCCTCCCCCCGCCCGCCGTGCCAGCCCCTGCGTCGGCAGCGCCGTCGGCCGCGCCGCGGCGCCGAGCCGCTCGCCCACGAGCGGGTTGAGCGACCGCAGCTGCGCGTTGCCCAGCCACGTCGAGCAGCCCACCGCCGCCGCCGCCTTGGCCAGCCCAAGCAGCCCCGACACCGGCTCGGCGTGGCCCGCATTCGCCTTGTGCGTCCCGAGGCAGAGAGCCGCGCCGCCCGCGCCCCCCAGCGCCGCGGCGAGGGAGCCCGCCTCGGTGGGGTCGCCGAGCGGCGTGCCGGTGCCGTGCGCCTCGACGCCAGCCACCGCCGCCGCCTCGCTCGCCGCCTTGCCGAGCGCCGCGAGGAGCAGGGCGCGCTGCGCCGACCCGTTGGGCGCCGTCAGGCTCGCGCTGCGCCCGTCCTGCCGCACCGCGCTCCCGCGCAGCGCGAGCCCGGCCTGGCTCGCCGCCGCGCCTCGCAGCACGAGCGCGGCGGCCGCCTCGGAGCGGACGTACCCGTTGGCTCGCGCGTCGAACGTCTTGCACCGCCCGTCGACAGAGAGCATCCCCGCGGCGGCGGTCACGAAGAAGGGCAGCGGGGACAGCTTGAGGCTGACCGCGCCGGCGAGCGACAGGCCGCACTCGCCGCCAGCCGCCGCCAGCGCCGCACTGTGCAGCGCCACGAGGCCCGACCCGCAGGCCGCATCGACGCTCATGCAAGGCCCCTGCAGCCCGAGCGCAAAGGAGACGCGGCCGCAGGCGATGGAGATGGTGTCTCCAGTGACGGCGTAGGCAGAGGCGGAGGCGCCCGCCGGCCTGAGGGAGGCGAGCAGCGCCCAGTCGGGCCGCTCGATGCCGAGGAAGACGCCCGCGTCGCCGCCGAGCAGGCTCGCACGCCGCTCGCCCGCGCCGTGCAGCGCCGCGTAGCCCACCTCGAGGAAGAGCCGCTGCTGCGGGTCCATCGCCGCCGCCTCGGCGGGCGAGACGCCAAAGGAGCGGTTGTCAAAGTGCTCGACGCGGCAGAGATAGCCGCCGTGCGAGGCGGCCGCGCGCTGTTTCTCGCTCACGCCCTCGTGCTCCTCGACCGACCAGCGAGACGCGGGCGGCGCGCCGATGGCGTCGGCCGACGCGCTCAGCCCTGCCCACAGGGCGCCACGCCCGCCGCTCGACGCGGGCCAGCGAGCCACGAGGCCTTGCACGGCGAGAGCCAGCTGGGCCGACGCCGCGGTCGAGGGGGCGGCCGCGGCTGCCTCAGTCCCAAGGAGCTGCCCCACCACGTGCGCCGCGATGGCGCGCGCCGACGGCTCGTCAAAGATGAGCGTCGGCGCGAGGTCGGCGCCCGTGGCCTCTCGGAGGCGGCTCACGGCCTCTGTAGCGCCGAGCGAGTCGATGCCCGCCTCCATGAGCGGCGTGTCGGCGGTGAGGCCGCCTGCGCCGGTGAGGTCCTCCAGCACCGACAGCACGGCCGCCTCGACGTGCGGCTGGCGCGCCGCGGGAGGCAGCCGCGAGAGCGCCCTGCCCATCTCGCTCTCCACGGCTGGCACGGCGGCGGCGGCGGCGGCTGAGTGCGATGGCGCAAAGGCGGAGAGCGCCTTTGGCACGACCGGGAGCAGGCCGAGGAAGCGGCTCCAGTCGACGAGGAGCAGCATCTGCACTGCGGGGCCGGCGGCGCCGAGGGAAGCCGCCAGGGCGGGGGCAGCCTCGGCAAGGGTGATCAGGGTAAAGCCGGACGCCTGTATGCGCGCGTTGATCGACTCCTCCGCCGCCATGCCAACCTCGCCCCACGGGCCCCACTGCACCGACGAGGAGGCGAGGCCGACGGCACGCCGCAGCGCGCTCGTGGCGTCGAGGCAGCAGTTTGCAGCTGCGTAGTTGGCCTGGCCAGCGCTGCCGAGCAGCGCCGCCACCGACGAGAAGAGCATGCACGCGTCGAGCGGCGAGGCGGCGCTCGCTCGCTGCAGGCCCCAGCCGCCGACCGCCTTGGGAGCGTACACGCGCCGGAAGGCCTGCGCCGTCTGGGAGCGGAGCAGGCCGTCTGCTAGCACGCCCGCCGCGTGCCACACGCCAGCGAGCCGCGCCCCATCGCCGCCAGCAGACGCCCTAGCAACGAGGCGCCGCACCTCCGCCTCCTCGGCCGCATCGCACGCCGCAGCCCGCACGGCGCAGCCAGCCAGCGAGGCGAGGCGAGCGCCCTCTGCCGGCGCCACCCACCCGCCCCGAGAGGCGAGGACCAAGCCCGCCGCCCCTCGATCGCCGAGCCACTCGGCGACGAGCAGGCCGACGCCGCCCGTGCCGCCCGTCAGCAGCTGGAGGCCGCCCACGCCGCTCGAGCCCTCTGGAAGCGCGTCGAGGCGGCTCAGCCGCGGCACCCTCGCCCCGCCATTGCCAGCCACGGCCTCCGGCTCGGTCGGCGGCAGCGCCGAGGCCACCGCCACCAGCTCCGCCGCCGAGAGCCCGGCGCCGTCGACGTGCGAGAGGCTGCTGCCCGGCGCCTCGGCTCTCGCCGTGCGGGCGAGGCCGAGGAGGCCGGCGTGCGAGGGGCACACGCGTGCGGCGGCGCTGCAAGGCTGCGATCCGCCACTGCTGAGCAGCCACGCAGGGAGAGGCTGCGAGGCAGGCTGCGAGAGCACGAAGCGGAGGGCCGCCTCGACCGCAGGCAGCGCCGAGGCCTTGGAGGCTGTCGCGAGCGCGCCGGCGGCGGCGCCGGCCTCGAGCGGGAGAGGCGCGGTTGGGAGCGAGATGACCGGCCTGGCGCGGGCGCCGAGGACGAGCGTGGGCAGTGCTGCAGCCGGAGCAGCGACGAGCGGGACGAACTCGGTGACGTAGCTGTGAGAGCTAGCAGCAGCCTCTACGCTCGCAGCAGCCGCCTCGGCGCTTGGAGCAGCCTCGCGCCACGCGAAGCGGCGTCGCTTGTAGCGAAGCGGAGACGTCGCGGCACCGTTGGGGCTACTGAGAGGGGCCCGCGCATCGAGCACAGCGTGGGCGATCGTGCCGCTGTACCCAAACGAGCTCACGCCGCCCCTCCCGCCCGCCGCGCCATCCAGCCCTCGCGCCAGCTGCGTCGGCAGCGCGCACGCCACGCCCTCCACCGCAGAGCCGACGTGCGGGTTGATGCGCCGCAGCTGCGCGTTGGGCGGCGCCCGCGCCTCGAGCAGCCCCGCCGCCAGCCGAAGCAGCCCCGCCAGCCCCGCCGCCGGCTCGGCGTGGCCGCAGTTCGCCTTGAGGCTGCCCACGCAGAGCGGCGGCGACGGCGCGCGCGCAGCCAGCACCGCCGCCGCGAGCGAGCGCACCTCGATCGGGTCGCCGAGCGGCGTGCCGGTGCCGTGCGCCTCGTAGGCCGAGAGGGCGGCGGGCTCGACGCCTCCGTCGGCGAGGGCGGCCCGCAGCAGCGCCTGCTGCGCCTGCCCGTTGGGCGCGGTGAGGCTCGCGCTCTTGCCGTCCTGCCGCACACAGCTGCCGCGCAAGACGAGTCCAGCGCCCCGATGTGGTACAGAAGCTGGCCCGCGCTCGCCAGGTGAAACCAAGACCGCGACCGTGCACCCCTCGCCTCGCGCAAAGCCGTCGGCGCGGCTGTCAAAGGTGTGGGAGCGGCCGGTGATCGAGCTCATTCCAGCAGCTGCAATCGAGAAAGTGGTGGCCTGCAAAAGCATCGCATTGACGCCCGCTGCGAGGTGCTGCTCGCACTCTCCATGCTGGAGCGCGCGCAGTGCGGAGTGGCAGCCGACTAGGGAGGCGGAGCAAGCCGTCTCAAAAGCCGCACAGGGCCCTTGCAGGCCGAGCACGAAGGACAGGCGGCCACTCGCGATAGAGAGACTCGAGCTGGTGGCCGTGTAGACGCTGCGCTGCAGCGGGCCAGCTGCCAGCAAGTGGTTGAATTCGGTTTGTGTAATGCCCACCGCAACTCCGGCCCCGCTTCCCATCAACGAGGCCCTCTCGAAGCCCGAGGCGTGCAGCGCGGCATAGCCGTGCTCGAGCAGCAGCCGCTGCTGCGGGTCCATTGCTACCGCCTCCGCCGGAGAGACGTTGAATCGAGCGTTGTCAAAGAGCTCGGCGCCCTGCATGAAGCCGCCGTGGCGAGCTCGCCCAAGGACCTCGGCACCGTATCCGGGAGGAGAGTGATCGACGTCCCAGCGCGTGGCTGGCACCTCATTGACCAGATCGTAACCAGTCGCTGTCGTGGTTACCAGCCCCTCATAGGAAGCGATGCCGCCCGCAAGAGCACAGCTTGTCCCTGTGACAGTTATCTGCTGGAGTGGCAGCTGATTCTGATTTGAGCGAGATGCGCCAGAGGCCTGTTCAATCAGCTGAGCGAGCAGGGCTGCGCCATCAGGGCATTGAGTAGCAGCGATCGGCGTCACCCTCGCCGACAGGTGCGCCTCAAGCTGCCGCAGCGTCGGGAAGTCGAAGACCAGCGTCTCGGGCAGGGAGGCATCGCCAAGCTTCGACGCCAGCCGCGTGCGGAGCTCGACGGCGCCGAGCGAGTCGAGGCCCGCCTCCATCAGCGGCGCGTCGGCGTCCACCTCGCCGCCCGCCACCTCGCTCGCCACCGACGCCACCACAGCCGCCACGTCGACCGAGGGAGCGGGGGTGGCGGCAGGGCCCTGGCTGCCGCCGCCGGCGAGTGAGGCGAGGAGCTGCTGAAGAGCGGCGGAGCCGTCTCCAAGCTGCGGCCCTGCAGCCGCCGGGGCCGCTCTCGCCGACAGGTGCGCCTCGAGCTGCCGCAGCGTCGGGAAGTCGAAGACCAGCGTCTCGGGCAGGGAGGCGTCGCCAAGCTTCGACGCCAGCCGCGTGCGGAGCTCGACGGCGCCGAGCGAGTCGAGGCCCGCCTCCATCAGCGGCGCGTCGGCGTCCACCTCGCCGCCCGCCACCTCGCTCGCCACCGACGCCACCACAGCCGCCACGTCGACCGAGGGGGCGGCGGTGGCGGCAGGGCCCTGCATGCCGCCGCCGGCGAGGGAGGCGAGGAGCTGCTGAAGCGCAGGTGATGAGGCCGATGCAGCTTGCATGACTCTCTCTGTCGCTTGAGCAGCAGCCACGTCAGGCGCCCTTAGCTGCACCTCGTCAAACGGCACGTACTCGTACTCCCTCCGCCCCAGCACGCCCACGGCCTTGATGCGGTAGCTGCGCGCCGGCGACACGCCCCGCACGCGAGGCGTCCAGTCGAAGCGGCCGTACGTCGCCGAGAAGCGGTCGCACACCGCCACAAAGTCGGACGGAGGCAGCACCTCCCGCGCGTCGAGCATGCCTACCAGCGCCGCCGCGTCCACACGCGCCTCGCCGCGCACGTGCAGGGCGTACATGGTCGACGCGGCGCCCGAGCCGTACGAGAAGACGCCGATGCGAGAGCCGACCGGCGGCGACGCGTGCAGCAGGAGCGAGGCGAGGTTGACGTAGGTGGCGGCGGTGTGCATCGGGCCGATGCGCGAGGCGAGGCGGAGCGACGGAGCCACCAGCCGCTCGAACATCGCCTCCACCTCCTCCTCGCCGACAGAGCCCTCGCCGTGCGCCGCGGCGACGGCGCTCTCAAAGGCGTGCCGCACAAACTTGGGCCCGCTGCCGAGGTGGAAGACGAGGAAGTCGTGCGCGTCGACAAAGGTGCCGCCGCCCCGCGCCTCGACCTCGCGCTGGCAGGCGGCGAGGCACGAGAAGTACACCTCCATCGAGCCGGGGCCGTCGACGATCGGGCCCATCGTCGGCCAGCCCACCGGCTTGTAGAAGTCCCACTCGTGCACGATGTGGCTCACGCGGCCGGCCTCGAGCGCGAGGGGCGCGTCCGGCCCGACCAGCATCGCCACGCACGCCGCGCCGTTCATGAAGGGGTACTGCTTGGGCGCGTCGCTCACGTCGGTGCACACGGCGATCGCCCACCGCCCGTCCCACGCCGAGCTCTCCACCCAGTTGGCGCACGCGAGCAGCGCCGCCGTGCCGCCGTAGCAGGCGTGGTAGCAGTCGATGCCCTCGACGTTGGCGCAGCCGTGCGGCGCAAAGAGCGACATCAGGTGGCTCTTCACGCTCTTGGACCGGTCGAGCAGCGACTCGGTCCCCACCTGCAGCATGCCCACGTCCTCGTACCGCAAGCCCTGCGCCTCGACCAGCCGCCGCACCGCCGTGAGCGCCATCGAGACGACGTCCTCGTCCTCGTCGCACGCGGCCCACTCGGCCATCCGCAGCCCGACCGTGTACTTGCCCGGCACGCCGTGCGCGGCCTCGAGCTCGGCCGCCGAGACGGCGTGGCGAGGCACGTACACCTCGAGCGCGTGCAGGCCGGCGTGGCGGGAGGGTAGAGGCGGCGAGGAGGGCGTCAGGGCGATTGGGCAGAAGCATATCTGGGGAGTGGCGTCAGCCGACGGACCAGTGTACTCGTACTCCCTCCGCCCCAGCACGCCCACGGCCTTGATGCGGTAGCTGCGCGCCGGCGACACGCCCCGCACGCGAGGCGTCCAGTCGAAGCGGCCGTACGTCGCCGAGAAGCGGTCGCACACCGCCACAAAGTCGGACGGAGGCAGCACCTCCCGCGCGTCGAGCATGCCTACCAGCGCCGCCGCGTCGACGCGCGCCTCGCCGCGCACGCGCAGGGCGTACATGGTCGACGCGGCGCCCGAGCCGTACGAGAAGACGCCGATGCGAGAGCCGACCGGCGGCGACGCGTGCAGCAGGAGCGAGGCGAGGTTGACGTAGGTGGCGGCGGTGTGCATCGGCCCGATGCGCGAGGCGAGGCGGAGCGACGGAGCCACCAGCCGCTCGAACATCGCCTCCACCTCCTCCTCGCCGACAGAGCCCTCGCCGTGCGCCGCGGCGACGGCGCTCTCAAAGGCGTGCCGCACAAACTTGGGCCCGCCGCCGAGGTGGAAGACGAGGAAGTCGTGCGCGTCGACAAAGGTGCCGCCGCCCCGCGCCTCGACCTCGCGCTGGCAGGCGGCGAGGCACGAGAAGTACACCTCCATCGAGCCGGGGCCGTCGATGATCGGGCCCATCGTCGGCCAGCCCACTGGCTTATAGAAGTCCCACTCGTGCACGATGTGGCTCACGCGGCCGGCCTCGAGCGCAAGGGGCGCGTCCGGCCCGACCAGCATCGCCACGCACGCCGCGCCGTTCATGAAGGGGTACTGCTTGGGCGCGTCGCTCACGTCGGTGCACACGGCGATCGCCCACCGCCCGTCCCACGCCGAGCTCTCCACCCAGTTGGCGCACGCGAGCAGCGCCGCCGTGCCGCCGTAGCAGGCGTGGTAGCAGTCGATGCCCTCGACGTTGGCGCAGCCGTGCGGCGCAAAGAGCGCCATCAGGTGGCTCTTCACGCTCTTGGACCGGTCGAGCAGCGACTCGGTCCCCACCTGCAGCATGCCCACGTCCTCGTACCGCAGGCCCTGCGCCTCGACCAGCCGCCGCACCGCCGTGAGCGCCATCGAGACGACGTCCTCGTCCTCGTCGCACGCGGCCCACTCGGCCATCCGCAGCCCGACCGTGTACTTGCCCGGCACGCCGTGCGCGGTCTCAAGCTCGGCCGCCGAGACGGCGTGGCGAGGCACGTACACCTCGAGTGCGTGCAAGCCGGCGTGGCGGGAGGTGGTCTCAGAGGGAGGGTGCGGGCTCGGCAGGAGGGCGGGTGCTGGGGCTGGCGGCGGAGAGGACAGCTTCCGGCGGGCGGCTGCCGCGGTCAGCAGGCGCTCACTTGGCGGCTGGAGGGATTGGAGATGGAGCCCCTCCCGCGTGGCGGCAGGCAAAGCCCGGGGCGGACTGCTCAGCCCTTCAAGAAGCAGCGCCTCGTTGCTGCGCCTGGCCTCTTGCGCCGCCTCGTCAGCTGCTGGGCGACAGGTGAGCCGCAGCATGTGCCGCACGCCGACCGCCGGGTGCTGCACGAGCCAATGCGCAAACTGCCGCGCTCGCTCACCAGCGCCCTCGACCCGCTCGCTCGCGAGGCCCAGCTCCAGAGCTCGAGCCGAGCTCACGGCCCCTTCTTGCAGAAGGCACTTTGCGTCGTCGGCTTGGAGCAAGTGGAAGGCCGCCGCTCGAGCGCATTCACTCTCGCCGTCGAAGGAAAACGCCGACCCTGCCTCCACGATGCGATAGTGCGCCCCGAGGCATGCATGCAGCAGCAGGCCCTCAACCTGCCCTCGCACGCAGCAGACGACGACGACGCCCGCCTCGCTGAGCCTGCTCATCGCAGCGTCGAGGCGGTGGCACGCCTCGCGAGACAGGCTGGCCGACGGCCCACCCTGCCCCTCCGCGGAGAGGACGAGCACTCGCAAAGTCGGCGAGAGCTTGTCCAGAACCAGGAGCGCATCGCGCCACAGGCCCTCGACAGACACGGCAGTCACCTCGAGCAACGCCACCCGCGAGTCCGCGTCCGCCTCAATCGTCACCTCGGAGGCTGGCAAGGGCGATGGCGCGCGCAGCCTTGGCGCTGACGAGAGGAAGTGACACTCCAGCCGCGCCACCTCGGCATCGAGCTCCTCCCAGCTCCCCACAAAGTCGACCAGCCCGAGCCGCTGTGCCGTGGCGGCGTCGATGGCGTCGCCCGTGCAGAAGAGCCTCTCGCACGCCGCGGGGCTCAGCCGCCGCCTCGCCGCGACGCTGACCACGCCGGGCAAGGCGCCGCGCCGGATCTCGGGGAAGCCAAAGGTGGCGTCCGAGTGCGCGAGCACCGCCGTGCCGAGGCAGGGGAAGAGCATTCCTCCTCCGCGAGTGGCGCCGTGGCAAACCACCACCTTTGGCATCGGCGCGTCGCGAAGCCGCTCGAGCAGCTGGCCAAAGGCGGGCAAGCCGTCGAGAAAGCTGCCGCTCTCGAGGTTGGCTGGCGACGGGTCGCCGCCGAGGCAGAAGTGCTCAGACCCCTCCACGCCGCGGAAGACGAGGAGCGCGTTGTCGGGCCAATCTGGCTCCAGGTCGCCAAGAGAAGCGGGAACGAAAACGGTGTGGACGGTGTACTCGGGCGAGGTGGCGACGGTGGGTGGCTCGAGAAGGAACGGCGTCAGATCGAGCGGCGGTACGGCGTAGGAGTCGGTAACGGGGGCCTTGGCAAAGGCACCGCCGTTGGCGAATCGGCATTCGGCGTGGCCGACAGCCTCTGCGGCCCGGTGCGCCACGTCGGCTGCGACTCGAGACTGCAAGAGGGCCTGCGCGGCATCTCCTCGAACTATCTCACACGCAACGTCGAACGCGCGACGCTGCATAGCCTCGACTCCCTCGGTACACACCTCGTTGGCAAGCCTCGCCTCGTGTGCTGCTGCGGCGTCGAGCGTGTCGTTGGCGAGGTAGATGGAGAGCGCCCGTGCTCGCCCCACCGCGTTTGGAAGGGTCTGAGACAGCATGCCGAGAGGGCAGACCCCTCGCACGAGGTTGCCGTGCTCGAACGTGGCCTTCGAGTCGGCCACAATGTAGTCAGCGTGCAGGCAGGCGGCGACGCCGCCGCCAATCAGCTTGCCGTGCACCGCAGCAACCATTGGCACGCCGAGCTTGTACAGCGCGCCAAAACCGTCGTACAATGTTCGGCACCCGAACGCAACAGCTGCAAGCGGCACACCCGCCTTCTCCCGTTGAAAAGGGTTGCCGCCGACCGAGAAGTGCGGGCCCGCGCCCTGGAGCACAATCGCCTTGACGAGTGGGTCACGGCCGATGCTCGCCGCCGCCTCCGCCACGTCCTCGGCGAGCTCCGCCGAGAAGCTGTTCATGCGCGACGGGTCGTTCAGCTCCACCACCGCCACCTTCGACTCGCCATCGACGTAGAGCCGCACGAGCCGCTTGCCGATGGAGCGTGGCGGGCCGGGAAGGAGCGAGCCCATCGCAACGAGTGCGGCGTCGACACTCGGCGCAGGCAGGAGCGCGCGGCAGGTCTTCAAGAGCGGAGCAGGGAGAGAGGAGAGGCGCTGCACGAGGCGGCGAGACTCGGCGGCCGCAGTGGCGGGCGAGAGAGCCGAATCCACCAGGCCAGCTTGTGCTGCATCGGACGCCGACAGCGCTGTGGCTGTCACGATCCCCTCAGGCCGCCTGTGGAGACGCAGAGAGCCCTCTGGCTGGACGGTGAGGGTGAAGGTGGTGTCGGCGACGACTACCGTGGCGGCGTCGAGGAGGAGAAGCGCGCCCGCGCCGCCCATCGGCCCTCGGCAGAGGAGCACGAGAGGCTCTCGCCGGGCCCGGAGCCATTCACTCAGCTCCTCGCTCGCGTCGAGGGTGAGGCTTTGCAGCTGGACGAGCGCAGCCGCGTCGGGCAGGCGGCGGAGGCGACGCAGAGCAGAGGAGGCTCGCATGCCGCCAGCCAGCCTGCAGCTCGGTGGCAGCCCCTTGCCCTTTGCCTCGTACCAGGGGAACGAGCGGCGCTTGTACACGAGAGGAGGCAGAGGCGGAGGTCCGGCCGATGCAGCAGGCGCCGCATCGAGCACGGCGTGTGCGATCGTGCCGCTGTACCCAAACGAGCTCACGCCGCCCCTCCCGCCCGCCGCGGCATCCAGCCCTCGCGCCAGCTGCGTCGGCAGAGCGCACGCCACGCCCTCCACCGCAGAGCCGACGTGCGGGTTGATGCGCCGCAGCTGCGCGTTGGGCGGCGCCCGCGCCTCGAGCAGCCCCGCCGCCAGCCGAAGCAGCCCCGCCAGCCCCGCCGCAGGCTCGGCGTGGCCGCAGTTCGCCTTGAGGCTGCCCACGCAGAGCGGCGGCGACGGCGCGCACGCAGCCAGCACCGCCGCCGCGAGCGAGCGCACCTCGATCGGGTCGCCGAGCGGCGTGCCTGTGCCGTGCGCCTCGTAGGCCGAGAGGGCGGCGGGCTCGACGCCTCCGTCGGCGAGGGCGGCCCGCAGCAGCGCCTGCTGCGCCTGCCCGTTGGGCGCGGTGAGGCTCGCGCTCTTGCCGTCCTGCCGCACGCAGCTGCCGAGGAGGGAGAGCCCGGAGCTGCTGCTCTCTCTGTCCATCGCCAGCACCGCCGCGCAGCACGCCTCGCCGCGAGCGTACCCGTCCGCCGCAGCGTCAAAGGTGTGGCAGCGGCCGGTCGGCGACGTCATGCCGGCAACCGCAAACGAGAAGCCGACACCGGGCAGCAGCATCAGGTTCACGCCGACCGAGAGGGCGGGGGAGCACTCGTCCAGCTGCAGGGCTCGCAGCGCGGCGTGGGTGGCGACCAGCGCCGCCGAGCAGGCGGTGTCGTACGAGACGCACGGGCCCTGCAGCCCGAGCACAAACGAGAGGCGGCCGGCCGCGACCGACATCGACCCGCCGGTGGCGGCGTACACGCTCTTGCCGACTGCAGACTGCGCCGCGACGCTCTGCCAGTCGTTGGCGGCGATGCCGAGAAAGACGCCCGCCAGGCTGCCGCCCAGCGCCGCCTTGTCCATGCCCGCGCCGTGCAAGGCCTCGTAGCCTCGCTCGAGGAGCAGCCGCTGCTGCGGGTCGACGGCGGCCGCCTCGGCGGGCGAGACGCCGAAGCGAGCATTGTCGAAGAGGTCGGCGCCGCTCAGGAAGCCGCCGTGCCGCACTCGCTGGCCGACGACCTGGTCCACGCCAGCCAAAGCAGCCTCCACCGACCACCGCTCCGGCGGCACCTCGCCAATGCCGTCGCTGCTCGCAGCGGCCAGGTGGCGCAGCTGCGACAGCGTCGCGATGTCGCTCGGCAGGCTGGCGGCGAGACTGAGCGCCCAAGCCTGGCCACCGCTATGGGCGGCCGCTTGAGCCGCTGGGCCGCCTTCAGCTCTGCCTCCTTCGGCCGCGTCCGCCGCCTGCTCCCTCAAGTAGCCCGCGAGCTGGCGCGCCGTCGGGTAGTCGAAGACGAGCGTCGACGGCAGCGCCGCGCCCGACATCGACCGCAGCTGGTTGCCGAGCTCGACCGCGCCGAGCGAGTCGAGCCCCGACTCCATCAGCGGCGCGTCGGCGTCCGCCTCTGCACCCGCCGTCGCCTTGACCACTTGCAGGATCGCCTCGAGCGTCACCGCCCGCACCTCGCCTTGCGCATCACGAGAGACGGCAGCCGCGCCAGCCGCCCTCCGGCCCGAATAGCTGACGAGCAGCGGCGGCACCTCTGGCATCGCGCCGAGGAACTTGCCCCAAGTGAGCACCACCAGGCTCATCACGCCGGAGACAGCAGGCTGCAGCGTTGCCTGGAGGGCGAGCGCGCCCTGCTCCAGGCTGATGAGGCCGAGGCCGCCGGCCTGGAGGCGAGCGTTGATCGACTCGTCCGCCGCCATGCCGACGGCCGCCCACGGGCCCCACTGCACCGACGTCGCGTTTATGGCGCGAACGCGCCGGCAGGCGCCGAGCGCGTCGAGCATGCCGTTGGCGGCGGCGTAGTTGGACTGGCCGCCCGCGCCGATCAGCGCGGCGATGGACGAGAAAAGCACGCACGTGTCGAGCGGCGTCGTGGCGGCCGCCCGCTGCAGCGCCCACGCGCCGGCAACCTTGGGCGCGAAGACGCGCTTGATGGTCGAAGCGTTCTGGCCGCGCAGCAGCCCGTCCGACAGCACGCCCGCCGCGTGCCACACGCCCGCCAGCGGGCTGCCCTTGGCCACGATGGCGCCAACCATGCGAGCCGAGTCCACCAGCTCGGCCGCGTCGCACTTGACCACGCTGAAGCTGCACTCGGCGATCTTCTTGAGCTTCTCGCCGTCCGCGGGGGCGACCTTGCCGCCGCGGGCCGCGAGCACCACCGAAGAGGCGCCGCTCTCGCCGAGCCACCTGCCCGTGACCAGGCCAAGGCCGCCCGTGCCGCCAGAGAGCAGGTGGGCGCCGCGTGGCGGCGTCGGGGCCGTCTTCGGGATGCGCACCACCACCTTGCCCGTGTTGGTGCCGCTCTGGAGCGTGCGGAAGGCGGCCAGGACGTCCCTTTCCAGGTCGAAGAGCTCCATGGGCAGGCCGTGGAGCACGGAGGCATCCGCACGCGCCGACAGCGTCCGCAGCGTGCCGCACATCCACCACGGCGTCTGGTCAATCGTCGAGTCGAGCGCGATCATCGTGAAATCGTTGGAGCACGCCGCCTCGTGCCGCTCGTAGCTCCACACCGCCCGCTTGCCGATCTCGCAGAGCGCGCCGTCCTGCCGCAGCAGCGCGAAGGTGCACGCGATGAAGTCCGCAGACAGGCTGTTGAGCGAGAAGCGCAGCCGGCGGGAGCCGAGCAGCTTCGACGCGCCGAGCGCAAAGGCGCTGCCGTCGCGCGAGCTGAGCGTGCGGCCGGCGAGGCCCATCTTGTGCAGGTAGAAGTGCTTGTACGGCCGGCCGACGTTCGCCATCGCGCGGTTGCCGATGAAGAGGCAGTACTCTTGCGAGGTCAGGCCGACACCACCAGCGCCGGCGTGCAGCAGCACGTCGTGGCCAGCCGCCGGCCGGGCCGCGAGCAGCGACATGTGCACCGTGCTCCACGTCGTCGGCAGAGTGCACGCCTGATCGAACGAGAGCGAGTCGGTGATGGCCGCCATCAGGCGCGCGTCGGACTTGGACAGAGACGCGAGCGCGGCGATGCCGTGCCCGAGCGCCGCGTCGCCAACCGACAAGTGACCGACGCCGCCCCCAGTGGCAGCGACGTGGGCGGCGCAGTCGCCGCCGGGCGGGCCCGGGTCGCCCGGGTAGGCGCCGAGCACGTTGAGCACGTCGCGGAAGTTGAGGCCGACCGCGCCGACGCGCAGCCTGACCTCACCGTGCGCTGGCTCCGACTCGTCGCCCTCCTGCGGCACCAGCCTCAGGTTGCTTATCGCCCCTCTCGCGTCAAAGTGGAGCCGGATCGGGCCGCCCAGCGAGCCGGCCGCCTCGGTCAGGCGCGGCACGCGCTGGCTCGAGCCGTTGAAGGCCACCTCGGGCTCGGGCGTGCCGTTGTAGCCGAGGCCGAGCTTGCCGGCCAGCTTCGACACCGCTGCCAGCTCGGCCGTGCCCGGCCGAAGCACGTCCAGGTCGATGATCGGCAAGCGCGACGCCGGCGCCTCGGCGCGCGCTGAGCGGGCCAGGCCCAGCAGCCCGGCGTGGCTCGAGGCTCCGGCCGCCGTCGGGCGGGCGGCGAGGGTGCAAGAGGTCAGCATCCACACCGGCGCCGATGCCGCGGTCAAGGTGTGCGCTCGGGCGGCGACAAAGGAAGAGGCGAGACCGGCGAGAGCGTCAGAGGCGAGGGCGCCGCCGGCGAGGCTGGTGGCTAGGAGCAGGGAGGAGGGCGGTGGCCTCGATATTGGTGCGCCGCTTGCAGCTGCGCCGCCGCGCTTCACAGAAGGCGCCGCGTGCACCACCAGCGCGGCCGGCGCAGCCTCGAACGCCTCAGCACTCCTCTCCCACGAGGTGACGTACAGGTGCGTCGCCCTCGCCGCCGGCGCAGCCTTGAGCGGCGCCTTGAGCGCACGCGACTCGAAGCCGGCCAGGCGCACGCCCGCCGAGGCGGCGCCGCTGGCGATGACCACCCCGACCGCCCCGACGCCCTCCCGCTCCGCCGCCGGCCACGCCGTGCCGCTCACATCCGCCAGCGCCGCCTCGCCCACAGAGAAGGGCAGCCGCGTCTCGCCCTCCTCAGTGTTGGCGAGCAGCGAGGACAGGTGCAGCGAGCCGTCGAGGTCGGCCGGGTGGACGCGAGTGCCCTCCTTGCGCGAGCGGCGGCACAGCCGGCCGACGGCGGCGCCGGCGGCGCGCGAGACGGCCGCCAGCTCGAGCGTGCGGTACCGAGGGCCGTACTCGAGGCCGACCGAGCGGAGAAGCGAGTAGAGCGAGGCGGCGTCGACCGCCTCGCCGCACGAGGCGCGAGCCGCGGCGAGCGAGAGGCCAGGGAGATGGCCCGACGCGGCCGACGCGTCGCCGGCGCAGTGAGCCGTCGACGTGTCGCCGCCTCTCTCGTAGGCCACCTCGAACCGATCCTTGATCACGCCCACCCGCACCCGCGCCTCGCTCAGGCCGCCGTCCAGCACGAGCGGCTGCAGGAAGAGGACGCGCCGCAGCGACGCCCCTCCGCCGCCGCCGGAGAGGGCGACGCACGCCGCGCGAGCCATCTCGAGGTAGGCGGCGGCGGGGACGACGACGCGGCCCCGCACGACGTGGTCGGCGACGAGGGCGAGGAGGGGCCCGCTGGCCGGCGAGGAGAAGGCGTCGGCCTGCCGCCCTTCGGCGTCCGCCTCTCGCCGCTGGAGGAGCGGGTGGGGCGCCTCGCGCCACGCGTAGCGGCGGCGGGCGTAGGCGAGCGGCGGCGGGCTGCTGGTGCTGAGGGAGGGCGCCGCCGCCTCGAGCACAGCGTGGGCGATCGTACCGCTGTACCCAAACGAGCTCACGCCGCCCCTCCCGCCCGCCGCGGCATCCAGCCCTCGCGCCAGTTGCGTCGGCAGCGCGCACGCCACGCCCTCTACCGCAGAGCCGACGTGCGGGTTGATGCGCCGCAGCTGCGCGTTGGGCGGCGCCCGCGCCTCGAGCAGCCCCGCCGCCAGCCGTAGCAGCCCCGCCAGCCCCGCCGCAGGCTCGGCGTGGCCGCAGTTCGCCTTGAGGCTGCCCACGCAGAGCGGCGGCGACGGCGCGCGCGCAGACAGCACCGCCGCCGCGAGCGAGCGCACCTCGATCGGGTCGCCGAGCGGCGTGCCGGTGCCGTGCGCCTCGTAGCACGAGAGGGCGGCGGGCTCGACGCCTCCGTCGGCGAGGGCGGCCCGCAGCAGCGCCTGCTGCGCCTGCCCGTTGGGCGCGGTGAGGCTCGCGCTCTTGCCGTCCTGCCGCACGCAGCTGCCGAGGAGGGAGAGCCCCGGCGTGTCGCCATCGCCGCTTGGCTGCAGCACTGCGGCATGGCAGCCCTCGCCGCGGCCGTAGCCGTCGGCGCGGCTGTCAAACGAGTGCGAGCGGCCTCGGGGGGAGGTCATGCCGGCCACGGCCATGCTGATGCACGCCGCCTGGCTGAAAATCATGTTGACGCCGAGGGCGAGGGCAGCAGTGCACTCGCGCATCTGCAGCGCGCGCGAGCCACCGTGCGACGCGACGATGCCGCTCGAGCAAGCCGTGTCGATCGAGGAGCAAGGTCCCTGCAGGCCGAGCACGAAAGAGAGGCGTCCCGCCGCCACCGAGCAGGTGGCCGCAGTCGCCGAGTAGGCGCTCGACGCGAGAGAGGGTGAGCGAGCCATCAACTCGCCAAACTCGGGGTTCCAGATGCCGAGGAAGACGCCCGTCACGCTGCCCAGCAGCTCCGCCTTGCGCATCGCCGCGCCATGCAGCGCCTCGTAGCCGCACTCGAGCAGCCTCCGCTGCTGCGGGTCCATCGTCGCCGCCTCGGCCGGCGAGACGCCAAAGAAGCTGTTGTCAAAGAGCTCCGCGTCAGCGAGGAAGGAGGCGCAGCGCTGTCGAGCGGCGACGGGCTCAGACACAGCCGCGCTAGAGAAGCGAGAGAGGTCGGATGTGTCCCAGCGGCTCGCTGGCACCTCGCTGGCCGCATCGTGGCCTGCCGCAGCCATTCGCCACAAGCCGCGGATACCATCGCCCTGCGCGCCGTCAGGAGCGACGGCACACATCGAAACGAGCCCCACCACGCGTTCATCTGCGCTGTGGATTGTGGCCGCTGCTGCGCCGGCCGGAGCGGCGCCGCTGAGCGAGCCGAGGTGGGTGGCGAGCTGTCGCACGGTCGGGTGCTCAAAGACGAGCGTGCTCGGCAGCGTCGCTCCCGACGCCCTCTCCAGCTGGTTGCGCAGCTCGACGGCGCCGAGCGAGTCGAGGCCCGCCTCCATCAGCGGCGCGTCCGCGTCCACCTCTGCCCCCGCCGTCTGCTTCACCATCTCCAGCACCTCATCCATGCCGACGGCAGAGGCTCTCGCGCGAGATGCGACGGCCTCGGTCGATGTCGACGCCACGGCGGGCGCCACGGCCCTGAAGAAGGCAGGCGCGACCCTCGCGCCGCGGAGGAAGCGGCGCCAGTCCACGATGATGGCCGCCACGACCGGGGAAAAGGGAAGAAGCAGCGACGCGCCGAGCGCTGCAAGCCCTTGCGCGGGCGAGAGGAGCCCGATGCCGCCCGCCTGCAGTCGCGCGTTCACCCCCTGCCCCGCCGCCATGCCGACTTCTGCCCACGGCCCCCACTGCACGCTCGTCGCCACAGAGCCGCGGGCGTGCCGCGAGGCGGCGAGCGCGTCGAGGCAGCAGTTGGCGGCGGAGTAGTTGGCCTGGCCGCCCCCGCTCAGCAGCGCCGCCACCGACGAGAAGAGCACGCACGCGTCGAGCGGCGAGGCGGCGCATGCTCGGTGCAGGCCCCAGCCGCCGACCGCCTTGGGAGCGTACACGCGCTGCAGCGTCGCCGCCGTCTGCGAGGCGAGCACGGCGTCCGCGAGCACGCCCGCCGCGTGCCACACGCCACTCAGCGGCGCCGCATCGCCATCTCCGCTCGCCGCGCAGCACAGAAGCCGCGCCACGCTGGACGGCTGGGCGGCATCGCACGCGGCGGCGAGGACGGTGCAGCGCGGCGGCAGCCGGTCAGCCGCTCCGCCAGGGGCCACGGCGCCGCTGCGAGACGCGAGGATGAGCCGACCAGCGCCGCTTTCTGCGAGCCAGCTGGCTGTGACGAGGCCCAGCCCGCCCAGCCCGCCGGTGAGGAGGTGCGAGCCGAGGGTGGGCGCATCGGTCTCGGCGGAGGGCGGCTGGGTGCACGGCTGCAGGCGAGGCGCGAGAAGCAGCCCCTTGCGAAGGAGGAGGTCGGGCTCGTCGAGCGGTAGAGCGCTGGCGACGGCGAGCGCGTGCGCTGCACTCGCCGGCGCCAGGTCGAGCTGGTGCAGGTCTGAGGCGCCCTCTGCTCGCGCCGTGCGGGCGAGGCCGAGCGAGCCGGCGTGGTGGGAGCCGGGCGCGGCGCTGGCTCCGTGAGCGTGCGCGCCGGCGGTGAGCAGGACGAGGCGGGGCGGGGCCGTTGAAGCCAGCCGCACGCGCAGCAGCGACAAGGCTGCGTCGAGAGCAGCCAGTGGCGGGAAGGCTGCCCGGCCCGCCGCCGCCGGTGCTACGAAGGAAAGGCCGCCGAAGCGCTCGGTGCTGCCTGCTGGGCTCGGTGATGCCTCATCGAAGCCTCTCTCTCCTCGCCTCGAGCCCAGGACGAGGACCGAGGCCGTGGCGGTGACAGGTGTCTCGCTCCCTTCCCACTCGGTGACGTACAGGTGCCGCACGCGCTGCGCCGACGCATCGAGCGACGCCTTGAGCACACGCGACTCGAAGCCGGCCAGGCGCACGCCCGCCGAGGCGGCGCCGCTGGCGACGACCACCCCGACCGCACCGCCGCCCTCCCGCTCCGCCACCGGCCACGCCGTGCCGCTCGCATCCGCCAGCGCCGCCTCGCCCACAGAGAAGGGCAGCCGCGTCTCGCCCTCCGCCGTCAAGGCGAGCAGCGAGGACAGGTGCAGCGAGCCGTCGAGGTCGGCCGGGTGGACGCGAGTGCCCTCCTTGCGCGAGCGGCGGCACAGCCGGCCGACGGCGACGCCTGCGGCGCGCGAGACGGCCGCCAGCTCGAGCGTGCGGTACCGAGGGCCGTACTCGAGGCCGACCGAGCGGAGAAGCGAGTAGAGCGAGGCGGCGTCGACCGCCTCGCCGCACGAGGCGCGAGCCGCGGCGAGCGAGAGGCCAAGGAGCGGGCCCGACGCGGCCGACGCGTCGCCGGCGCAGTGAGCCGTCGACGCCTCGCCGCCTCCCTCGTAGGTCACCTCGAACCGACCCTTGATCGCGCCCACCCGCACCTGCGCCTCGCTCTGGCCGCCGTCCAGCACGAGCGGCTGCAGGAAGAGGACGCGCCGCAGCGACGCCCCTCCGCCGCCACCGTAGAGGGCGACGCACGCCGCGCGAGCCATCTCGAGGTAGGCGGCGGCGGGGAAGACGACGCGGCCCCGCACGACGTGGTCGGCGACGAGGGCGAGGAGGGGCCCGCTGGCTGGCGAGGAGAAGGCGTCCGCCTGCCGCCCAACGGCGTCCGCCTCTCGCCGCTGGAGGAGCGGGTGGGGCGCCTCGCGCCACGCGTAGCGGCGGCGAGCGTAGGCGAGCGGCGGCGGGCTGATCGAGCCGAGAGAGGGCGGCGCCGCCTCGATCGCGGCGTGGGCGATCGTGCCGCTGTACCCAAACGAGCTCACGCCGCCCCTCCCGCCCGCCGCGCCATCCAGCCCTCGCGCCAGCTGCGTCGGCAGCGCGCACGCCACGCCCTCCACCGCAGAGCCGACGTGCGGGTTGATGCGCCGCAGCTGCCCGTTGGGCGGCGCTCGCGCCTCGAGCAGCCCCGCCGCTAGCAGTAGCAGCCCCGCCATCCCCGCCGCAGACTCGGCGTGGCCGCAGTTCGCCTTGAGGCCGCCCACGCAGAGTGGCGGCGACGGCGCGCGCGCGGCTAGCACCGCCGCCGCCAGCGAGCGCACCTCGATCGGGTCGCCGAGCGGCGTGCCGGTGCCGTGCGCCTCGTAGCACGAGAGGGCGGCGGGCTCGACGCCTCCGTCGGCGAGGGCGGCCCGCAGCAGCGCCTGCTGCGCCTGCCCGTTGGGCGCGGTGAGGCTCGCGCTCTTGCCGTCCTGCCGCACGCAGCTGCCGAGGAGGGAGAGCTCTAAGAAGCCGCTGCTCTCTTCGCGCATCGCAAGCACCGCCGCGCAGCACCCCTCGCCTCGCGCAAAGCCGTCGGCGCGGCTGTCGAAGGTGTGGGAGCGGCCGGTGATCGAGCTCATTCCGGCAGCTGCAATCCACAGAGCGGTGCCCTGCACAAGCATCGCATTGACGCCCGCTGCGAGGTGCTGCTCGCACTCTCCATGCTGGAGCGCGCGCAGTGCGGAGTGGCAACCGACTAGGGAGGCGGAGCAAGCCGTCTCAAAAGCCGCACAAGGCCCTTGCAGGCCGAGCACGAAGGACAGGCGGCCGCTCGCGATAGAGAGGCTCGAGCTGGTGGCCGTGTAGACGCTGCGCTGCAGCGGGCCAGCTGCCAGCACATGGCTGAACTCCGTGGTGTAAATGCCCACCGCAACTCCGGCCCCGCTTCCCATCAACGAGGCCTTCTCGAAGCCCGAGGCGTGCAGCGCGGCATAGCCGTGCTCGAGCAGCAGCCGCTGCTGCGGGTCCATTGCTGCCGCCTCCGCCGGAGAGACGTTGAATCGAGCGTTGTCAAAGAGCTCGGCGCCCTGCATGAAGCCGCCGTGGCGAGCTCGCCCAAGGACCTCAGCACCGTATCCGGGAGGAGAGTCATCGACGTCCCAGCGCGTGGCTGGCACCTCATTGACCAGATCGCAACCAGTCACTGACGTGGCCACCAGCGCCTCCAAAGAAGCGATGCCGCCCGCAAGAGCACAGCATGTTCCTGTTACAGTGATCTGCTGGAGTGGCAGCTGATTCTGATTCGAGTGAGATGCGCCAGAGGCCTGTCCAATCAGCATAGCGAGCAGGGCTGCGCCATCAGGGTATTGAGTAGCTGCAGTCGGCGTCACCCTCGCCGACAGGTGCGCCTCGAGCTGCCGCAGCGTCGGGAAGTCGAAGACCAGCGTCTCGGGTAGGGAGGCGTCGCCGAGCTCCGACGCCAGCCGCGTGCGGAGCTCGACGGCGCCGAGCGAGTCGAGGCCCGCCTCCATCAGCGGCGCGTCGGCGTCCACCTCGCCGCCCGCCACCTCGCTCGCCACCGACGCCACCACAGCCGCCACGTCGACCGAGGGGGCGGCGGTGGCGGCAGGGCCCTGGCTGCCGCCGCCGGCGAGGGAGCCGAGGAGCTGCAGCAGCGCAGGTGATGAGGGCGATGCAGCTTGCACGACGCTCTCTGTCCCCTCAGCAGTTATCACGTCGGGCGCCCTCAGCGGCACCTCGTCAAACGGCACGTACTCGTACTCCCGCCGCCCCAGCACGCCCACCGCCTTGAGGCGGTAGCTGCGCGCCGGCGACACGCCCCGCACGCGAGGCGTCCAGTCGAAGCGGCCGTACGTCGCCGAGAAGCGGTCGCACACCGCCACAAAGTCGGACGGAGGCAGCACCTCCCGCGCGTCGAGCATGCCCAACAGCGCAGCCGCGTCGACACGCGCCTCGCCGCGCACGTGCAGGGCGTACATCGTCGACGCGGCGCCCGAGCCGTACGAGAAGACGCCGATGCGAGAGCCGACCGGCGGGGACGCGTGCAGCAGGAGCGAGGCGAGGTTGACGTAGGTGGCGGCGGTGTGCATCGGCCCGATGCGCGAGGCGAGGCGGAGCGACGGAGCCACCAGCCGCTCGAACATCGCCTCCACCTCCTCCTCGCCGACAGAGCCCTCGCCGTGCGCCGCGGCGACGGCGCTCTCAAAGGCGTGCCGCACAAACTTGGGCCCGCTGCCGAGGTGGAAGACGAGGAAGTCGTGCGCGTCGACAAAGGTGCCGCCGCCCCGCGCCTCGACCTCGCGTTGGCAGGCGGCGAGGCACGAGAAGTACACCTCCATCGAGCCGGGGCCGTCGACGATCGGGCCCATCGTCGGCCAGCCCACCGGCTTGTAGAAGTCCCACTCGTGCACGATGTGGCTCACGCGGCCGGCCTCGAGCGCAAGGGGCGCGTCCGGCCCGACCAGCATCGCCACGCACGCCGCGCCGTTCATGAAGGGGTACTGCTTGGGCGCGTCGCTCACGTCGGTGCACACGGCGATCGCCCACCGCCCGTCCCACGCCGAGCTCTCCACCCAGTTGGCGCACGCGAGCAGCGCCGCCGTGCCGCCGTAGCAGGCGTGGTAGCAGTCGATGCCCTCCACGTTGGCGCAGCCGTGCGGCGCAAAGAGCGCCATCAGGTGGCTCTTCACGCTCTTCGACCGGTCGAGCAGCGACTCGGTCCCCACCTGCAGCATGCCCACGTCCTCGTACCGCAAGCCCTGCGCCTCCACCAGCCGCCGCACCGCCGTGAGCGCCATCGAGACGACGTCCTCGTCCTCGTCGCACGCGGCCCACTCGGCCATCCGCAGCCCGACCGTGTACTTGCCCGGCACGCCGTGCGCGGTCTCGAGCTCGGCCGCCGAGACGGCGTGGCGAGGCACGTACACCTCGAGCGCGTGCAGGCCGGCGTGGCGGGGGGGTAGAGGCGGCGAGGATGGCGGCAGGGCGATTGGGCAGAAGCATATCTGGGGAGTAGCGTCGACCGCCAGACCGATGTACTCGTACTCCCGCCGCCCCAGCACGCCCACCGCCTTGAGGCGGTAGCTGCGCGCCGGCGACACGCCCCGCACGCGAGGCGTCCAGTCGAAGCGGCCGTACGTCGCCGAGAAGCGGTCGCACACCGCCACAAAGTCGGACGGAGGCAGGCGCTCCCGCGCGTCGAGCATGCCCAACAGCGCAGCCGCGTCGACACGCGCCTCGCCGCGCACGCGCAGGGCGTACATGGTCGACGCGGCGCCCGAGCCGTACGAGAAGACGCCGATGCGAGAGCCGACCGGCGGGGACGCGTGCAGCAGGAGCGAGGCGAGGTTGACGTAGGTGGCGGCGGTGTGCATCGGGCCGATGCGCGAGGCGAGGCGGAGCGACGGAGCCACCAGCCGCTCGAACATCGCCTCCACCTCCTCCTCGCCGACAGAGCCCTCGCCGTGCGCCGCGGCGACGGCGCTCTCGAAGGCGTGCCGCACAAACTTGGGCCCGCTGCCGAGGTGGAAGACGAGGAAGTCGTGCGCGTCGACAAAGGTGCCGCCGCCCCGCGCCTCGGCCTCGCGCTGGCAGGCGGCGAGGCACGAGAAGTACACCTCCATCGAGCCGGGGCCGTCGATGATCGGGCCCATCGTCGGCCAGCCCACCGGCTTGTAGAAGTCCCACTCGTGCACGATGTGGCTCACGCGGCCGGCCTCGAGCGCGAGGGGCGCGTCCGGCCCGACCAGCATCGCCACGCACGCCGCGCCGTTCATGAAGGGGTACTGTTTGGGCGCGTCGCTCACGTCGGTGCACACGGCGATCGCCCACCGCCCGTCCCACGCCGAGCTCTCCACCCAGTTGGCGCACGCGAGCAGCGCCGCCGTGCCGCCGTAGCAGGCGTGGTAGCAGTCGATGCCCTCGACGTTGGCGCAGCCGTGCGGCGCAAAGAGCGCCATCAGGTGGCTCTTCACGCTCTTGGACCGGTCGAGCAGCGACTCGGTCCCCACCTGCAGCATGCCCACGTCCTCGTACCGCAAGCCCTGCGCCTCCACCAGCCGCCGCACCGCCGTGAGCGCCATCGACACGACGTCCTCGTCCTCGTCGCACGCGGCCCACTCGGCCATCCGCAGCCCGACCGTGTACTTGCCCGGCACGCCGTGCGCGGTCTCGAGCTCGGCCGCAGAGACGGCGTGGCGAGGCACGTACACCTCGAGCGCGTGCAGGCCGGCGCGGCGGGAGGTGGTCTCAGAGGGAGGGTGTGGGCTCGGTAGGAGGGCGGGTGCTGCTGCTGGCGGCGGAGAGGGCAGCTTCCGGCGGGCGGCTGCGCCGGCCAGCAAGCGCTCGCTTGGCGGCTGGAGGGATCGGAGATGGAGCCCCTCCCGCTTCGCGGCGGGCAAAGCCCGGGGCGGACTGCTCAGCCCTTCAAGAAGCAGCGCCTCGTTGCTGCGCCTGGCCTCTTGCGCCGCCTCGTCAGCTGCCGGGCGACAGGTGAGCCGCAGCACGTGCCGCACGCCGACCGCCGAGTGCTGCACGAGCCAATGCGCAAACTGCAGCGCTCGCTCACCAGCGCCCTCGACCCGCTCGCTCGCAAGGCCCAGCTCTAGAGCTCGAGCCGAGCTCACGGCCCCTTCTTGCAGAAGGCACTTTGCGTCGTCGGCTTGGAGCAATCGGAAGGCCGCCGCTCGAGTGCACTCACTCTCGCCGTCGAAGGAAAACGCAGCCCCTACCTCCACGATGCGATAGTGCGCCCCGAGGCATGCATGCAGCAGCAGGCCCGCAGCCTGCCCTCGCACGCAGCAGAGGACGACGACGCCCGCCTCGCTGAGCCTGCTCATCGCGGCGTCGAGGCGGTGGCACGCCTCGCGAGACAGGCTGTCCGACGGTCCACCCTGCCCCTCCGCGGAGAGGACGAGCACTCGCAAAGTCGGCGAGAGCTTGTCCAGAACCAGGAGCGCATCGCGCCACAGGCCTCCGACCGACGCGGCAGTCACCTCGAGCAGCGCCACCCGCGAGTCTGCGTCCGCCTCAATCGTCACCTCGGGGGCTGGCAAGGGCGATGGCCCGAGCAGCCTTGGCGCTGACGAGACGAAGTGGCGCTCCAGCCGCGCCAACTCGGCATCGAGCTCCTCCCAGCTCCCCACAAAGTCGACCAGCCCGAGCCGCTGCGCGGTGGCGGCGTCGATGGCGTCGCCCGTGCAGAAGAGCCACTCGCACGCCGCGGGGCTCAGCCGCCGCCTCGCCGCGACGCTGACCACGCCGGGCAAGGCGCCGCGACGGATCTCGGGGAAGCCAAAGGTGGCGTCCGAGTGCGCGAGCACCGCCGTGCCGAGGCAGGGGAAGAGCATTCCTCCTCCGCGAGTGGCGCCATGGCAAACCACCACCTTTGGCATCGGCGCGTCGCGAAGCCGCTCGAGCAGCTGGCCAAAGGCGGGCAAGCCGTCGAGAAAGCTGCCGCTCTTGAGGTTGGCTGGCGACGGGTCGCCGCCGAGGCAGAAGTGCTCAGACCCCTCCACGCCGCGGAAGACGAGGAGCGCGTTGTCGGGCCAATCCAGCTCCAAGCCGCCAAGAGAAGCGGGAACGAAAACGGTGTGGACGGAGTACTCGGGCGGGGTGGCGATGGTGGGTGGCTCGAGAAGGAGCGGCGTCAGATCGAGCGGCGGTACGGCGTGAGAGTCGGTGAGAGGGGCCGTCGAGTAGCTACCGCCGTTGGCGAGTCGGCATTCGGCGTGGCCGACAGCCTCTGCGGCCCGGTGCGCCACGTCGGCTGCGACTCGAGACTGCAAGAGGGCCTGCGCGGCATCTCCTCGGACTATCTCACACGCGACGTCAAGGGCGCGACGCTGCGTGGCTTCGACTCCCTCAGTACACACCTCGTTGGCAAGCCTCGCCTCGTGTGCTGCGGCGGCGTCGAGCGTGTCGTTGGTGAGATAGATGGAAAGCGCCCGTGCTCGCCCCACCGCATTTGGAAGCGTCTGAGATAGCATGCCGAGAACACAGACGCCGCGCACGAGGTTGCCGTGCTCGAACGTGGCCTTTGAGTCGGCCACAATGTAGTCAGCGTGTAGGCAGGCAGCGACGCCGCCGCCAATCAGCTTGCCGTGCACCGCGGCAACCAGTGGCACGCCGAGCTTGTACAGCGCGCCAAAGCCATCAAACGCCGCCTGGCACCCGAGCGCAACAGCAGCAAGTGGCGCGGCCGCCTTCTCCCGTTGAAAGGGGTTGCCGCCGACCGAGAAGTGCGGGCCCGCGCCCTGGAGCACAATCGCCTTGACGAGCGGGTCACGGCCGATGCTCGCCGCCGCCTCCGCCACGTCCTCGGCGAGCTCCGCCGAGAAGCTGTTCATGCGCGTCGGGTCGTTCAGCTCCACCACCGCCACCTTCGACTCGCCATCGACGTAGAGCCGCACGAGCCGCCTGCCGATGGAGCGTGGCGGGTGGGGAAAGAGCGAGCCCATCGCAACGAGTGCGGCGTCGACACTCGGCGCAGGCAGGAGCGAGCGGCACGTCTTCAAGAGCGGAGCAGGAAGAGACGAGAGGCGCTGGACGAGGCGGCGAGACTCGGCGGCCGCAGTGGCGGGCGAGAGGGTGGAGTCCACCAGGCCAGCTTGTGCTGCATCGGGCGCCGACAGCGTTGTGGCTGTCGCTATCCCCGCAGGCCGCCTCTTGAGGCGCACAGAGCCCTCTGGCTGCACCGAGAGGGTGCAGGTGGTGTCGGCGACGACCACCGTGGCGGCGTCGAGGAGCAGGAGCGCGCCCGCACCGCCCACCAGCCCTCGGCAGAGGAGCACGAGAGGCTCTCGCCGGGCCCGGAGCCATTCACTCAGCTCCTCGCTCGCGTCGAGGGTGAGGCTCTGCAGCTGGACGAGCGCAGCCGCGTCGGGCAGGCGGCGGAGGCGGCGCAGGGCAGAGGAGGCTCGCATGCTGCCAGCCAGCCTGCAGCTCGGTGCTGCAGAACCCTTGCCCTTTGCCTCGTACCAGGGGAACGAGCGGCGCTTGTACACGAGAGGAGGCAGAGGCGGAGGCTCGGCCGATGCAGCAGGCGCCGCCTCGAGCACGGCATGTGCGATGGTGCCGCTGTACCCAAACGAGCTCACGCCGCCCCTCCCGCCCGCCGCGGCATCCAGCCCTCGAGCTAGCTGCGTCGGCAGCGCGCACGCCGCGCCCACCACCGCAGAGCCGACGTGCGGGTTGATGCGCCGCAGCTGCGCGTTGGGCGGCGCCTGCGCCTCGAGCAGCCCCGCCGCCAGCCGTAGCAGCCCCGCCAGCCCCGCCGCCGGCTCGGCGTGGCCGCAGTTCGCCTTGAGGCTGCCCACGCAGAGCGGCGGCGACGGCGCGCGCGCAGCCAGCACCGCCGCCGTCAGCGAGCGCACCTCGATCGGGTCGCCGAGCGGCGTGCCTGTGCCGTGCGCCTCGTAGGCCGAGAGGGCGGCGGGCTCGACGCCTCCGTCGGCGAGGGCGGCCCGCAGCAGCGCCTGCTGCGCCTGCCCGTTGGGCGCGGTGAGGCTCGCGCTCTTGCCGTCCTGCCGCACGCAGCTGCCGAGGAGGGAGAGCTCTAAGAAGCCGCTGCTCTCTTCGCGCATCGCAAGCACCGCCGCGCAGCACCCCTCGCCTCGCGCAAAGCCGTCGGCGCGGCTGTCGAAGGTGTGGGAGCGGCCGGTGATCGAGCTCATTCCGGCAGCTGCAATCCACAGAGCGGTGCCCTGCACAAGCATCGCATTGACGCCCGCTGCGAGGTGCTGCTCGCACTCTCCATGCTGGAGCGCGCGCAGTGCGGAGTGGCAACCGACTAGGGAGGCGGAGCAAGCCGTCTCAAAAGCCGCACAAGGCCCTTGCAGGCCGAGCACGAAGGACAGGCGGCCGCTCGCGATAGAGAGGCTCGAGCTGGTGGCCGTGTAGACGCTGCGCTGCAGCGGGCCAGCTGCCAGCACATGGCTGAACTCCGTGGTGTAAATGCCCACCGCAACTCCGGCCCCGCTTCCCATCAACGAGGCCTTCTCGAAGCCCGAGGCGTGCAGCGCGGCATAGCCGTGCTCGAGCAGCAGCCGCTGCTGCGGGTCCGTTGCTGCCGCCTCCGCCGGAGAGACGTTGAATCGAGCGTTGTCAAAGAGCTCGGCGCCCTGCATAAAGCCGCCGTGGCGAGCTCGCCCAAGGACCTCGGCACCGTATCCGGGAGGAGAGTCATCGACGTCCCAGCGCGTGGCTGGCACCTCATTGACCAGATCGCAACCAGTCACTGACGTGGCCACCAGTCCCTCCAAAGAAGCGATGCCGCCCGCAAGAGCACAGCACGTTCCTGTTACAGTGATCTGCTGGAGTGGCAGCTGATTCTGATTCGAGTGAGATGCGCCAGAGGCCTGTCCAATCAGCATAGCGAGCAGGGCTGCGCCATCAGGGTATTGAGTAGCTGCGGTCGGCGTCACCCTCACCGACAGGTGCGCCTCGAGCTGCCGCAGCGTCGGGAAGTCGAAGACCAGCGTCTCGGGCAGGGAGGCGTCGCCGAGCTCCGACGCCAGCCGCGTGCGGAGCTCGACGGCGCCGAGCGAGTCGAGGCCCGCCTCCATCAGCGGCGCGTCGGCGTCCACCTCGCCGCCCGCCACCTCGCTCGCCACCGACGCCACCACAGCCGCCACGTCGACCGAGGGGGCGGCGGTGGCGGCAGGGCCCTGGCTGCCGCCGCCGGCGAGGGAGCCGAGGAGCTGCTGAAGCGCAAGTGATGAGGCCGACGCAGCTTGCACGGCGCTCTCTGTCGCTTGAGCAGCAGCCACGTCAGGCGCCCTTAGCTGCACCTCGTCAAACGGCACGTACTCGTACTCCCGCCGCCCCAGCACGCCCACCGCCTTGATGCGGTAGCTGCGCGCCGGCGACACGCCCCGCACGCGAGGCGTCCAGTCGAAGCGGCCGTACGTCGCCGAGAAGCGGTCGCACACCGCCACAAAGTCGGACGGAGGCAGCACCTCCCGCGCGTCGAGCATGCCTACCAGCGCCGCCGCGTCGACACGCGCCTCGCCGCGCACGCGCAGGGCATACATCGTCGATGCGGCGCCCGAGCCGTACGAGAAGACGCCGATGCGAGAGCCGACCGGCGGCGACGCGTGCAGCAGGAGCGAGGCGAGGTTGACGTAGGTGGCGGCGGTGTGCATCGGGCCGATGCGCGAGGCGAGGCGGAGCGACGGAGCCACCAGCCGCTCGAACATCGCCTCCACCTCCTCCTCGCCGACAGAGCCCTCGCCGTGCGCCGCTGCGATGGCGCTCTCAAAGGCGTGCCGCACAAACTTGGGCCCGCTGCCGAGGTGGAAGACGAGGAAGTCGTGCGCGTCGACAAAGGTGCCGCCGCCCCGCGCCTCGGCCTCGCGCTGGCAGGCGGCGAGGCACGAGAAGTACACCTCCATCGAGCCGGGGCCGTCGTAGATCGGGCCCATCGTCGGCCAGCCCACCGGCTTGTAGAAGTCCCACTCGTGCACGATGTGGCTCACGCGGCCGGCCTCGAGCGCGAGGGGCGCGTCCGGCCCGACCAGCATCGCCACGCACGCCGCGCCGTTCATGAAGGGGTACTGCTTGGGCGCGTCGCTCACGTCGGTGCACACGGCGATCGCCCACCGCCCGTCCCACGCCGAGCTCTCCACCCAGTTGGCGCACGCGAGCAGCGCCGCCGTGCCGCCGTAGCAGGCGTGGTAGCAGTCGATGCCCTCCACGTTGGCGCAGCCGTGCGGCGCAAAGAGCGCCATCAGGTGGCTCTTCACGCTCTTGGACCGGTCGAGCAGCGACTCGGTCCCCACCTGCAGCATGCCCACGTCCTCGTACCGCAGGCCGTGCGCCTCGACCAGCCGCCGCACCGCCGTGAGCGCCATCGACACGACGTCCTCGTCCTCGTCGCACGCGGCCCACTCGGCCATCCGCAGCCCGACCGTGTACTTGCCCGGCACGCCGTGCGCGGTCTCGAGCTCGGCCGCCGAGACGGCGTGGCGAGGCACGTACACCTCGAGCGCGTGCAGGCCGGCGTGGCGGGAGGTGGTCTCAGAGGGAGGGTGCGGGCTCGGTAGGAGGGCGGGTGCTGGTGCTGGCGGCGGAGAGGACAGCTTCCGGCGGGCGGCTGCGCCGGCCAGCAAGCGCTCGCTTGGCGGCTGGAGGGATCGGAGATGGAGCCCCTCCCGCTTCGCGGCGGGCAAAGCCCGGGGCGGACTGCTCAGCCCTTCAAGAAGCAGCGCCTCGTTGCTGCGCCTGGCCTCTTGCGCCGCCTCGTCAGCTGCCGGGCGACAGGTGAGCCGCAGCATGTGCCGCACGCCTACCGCCGGGTGCTGCACGAGCCAATGCGCAAACCGCAGCGCTCGCTCACCAGCGCCCTCGACCCGCTCGCTCGCGAGGCCCAGCTCCAGAGCTCGAGCCGAGCTCACGGCCCCTTCTTGCAGAAGGCACTTTGCGTCGTCGGCTTGGAGCAAGTGGAAGGCCGCCGCTCGAGTGCACTCACTCTCGCCGTCGAAGGAAAACGCAGCCCCTGCCTCCACGATGCGATAGTGCGCCCCGAGGCATGCATGCAGCAGCAGGCCCGCAGCCTGCCCTCGCACGCAGCAGACGACGACGACGCCCGCCTCGCTGAGCCTGCTCATCGCGGCGTCGAGGCGGTGGCACGCCTCGCGAGACAGGCTGTCCGACGGTCCACCCTGCCCCTCCGCGGAGAGGACGAGCACTCGCAAAGTCGGCGAGAGCTTGTCCAGAACCAGGAGCGCATCGCGCCACAGGCCTCCGACCGACGCGGCAGTCACCTCGAGCAGCGCCACCCGCGAGTCCGCGTCCGCCTCAATCGTCACCTCGGAGGCTGGCAAGGGCGATGGCGCGCGCAGCCTCGGCGCTGACGAGACGAAGTGGCGCTCCAGCCGCGCCAACTCGGCATCGAGCTCCTCCCAGCTCCCCACAAAGTCGACCAGCCCGAGCCGCTGCGCGGTGGCGGCGTCGATGGCGTCGCCCGTGCAGAAGAGCCACTCGCACGCCGCGGGGCTCAGCCGCCGCCTCGCCGCGACGCTGACCACGCCGGGCAAGGCGCCGCGACGGATCTCGGGGAAGCCAAAGGTGGCGTCCGAGTGCGCGAGCACCGCCGTGCCGAGGCAGGGGAAGAGCATTCCTCCTCCGCGAGTGGCGCCATGGCAAACCACCACCTTTGGCATCGGCGCGTCGCGAAGCCGCTCGAGCAGCTGGCCAAAGGCGGGCAAGCCGTCGAGAAAGCTGCCGCTCTTGAGGTTGGCTGGCGACGGGTCGGCGCCGAGGCAGAAGTGCTCAGACCCCTCCACGCCGCGGAAGACGAGGAGCGCGTTGTCGGGCCAGTCCAGCTCCAGGCCGCCAAGAGAAGCGGGAACGAAAACGGTGTGGACGGTGAACTCGGGCGGGGCGGCGACGCTGGGTGGCTCGAGAAGGAACGACGAAAGATCCAGCGGCGGTACGGCGTAGGAGTCGGTAATAGGGGCCTTGGCGAAGGCACCGCCGTTGGCGAGTCGGCATTCGGCGTGGCCGACAGCCTCTGCGGCCCGGTGCGCCACGTCGGCTGCGACTCGAGACTGCAGGAGGGCCTGCGCGGCATCTGCTCGAACGATCTCACACGCGACGTCAAAGGCGCGACGCTGCGTAGCCTCGACTCCCTCGGTACACACCTCATTTGCGAGCCTCGCCTCGCGTGCTGCGGCGGCGTCGAGCGTGTCGTTGGTGAGATAGATGGAGAGCGCCCGTGCTCGCCCCACCGCGTTTGGAAGGGTCTGAGACAGCATGCCGAGAGGACAGACGCCGCGCACGAGGTTGCCGTGCTCGAACGTGGCCTTCGAGTCGGCCACAATGTAGTCAGCGTGCAGGCAGGCAGCGACGCCGCCGCCAATCAGCTTGCCGTGCACCGCGGCGATCAATGGCACGCCGAGCTTGTACAGCGCGCCAAAGCCGTCGTACCACACCTGCATTCCGAGCGCAACAGCAGCAAGCGGCGCAGCCGCCTTCTCCCGTTGAAAGGGGTTGCCGCCGACCGAGAAGTGCGGGCCCGCGCCCTGGAGCACAATCGCCTTGACGAGCGGGTCACGGCCGATGCTCGCCGCCGCCTCCGCCACGTCCTCGGCGAGCTCCGCCGAGAAGCTGTTCATGCGCGACGGGTCGTTCAGCTCCACCACCGCCACCTTCGACTCGCCATCGACGTAGAGCCGCACGAGCCGCTTGCCGATGGAGCGTGGCGGGCGGGGAAAGAGCGAGCCCATCGCAACGAGTGCGGCGTCGACACTCGGCGCAGGCAGGAGCGAGCGGCAGGCCTTCAAGAGCGGAGCAGGGAGAGAGGAGAGGCGCTGCACGAGGCGGCGAGACTCGGCGGCCGCAGTGGCGGGCGAGAGAGCCGAGTCCACCAGGCCAGCTTGTGCTGCATCGGACGCCGACAGCGTTGTGGCTGTCGCTGTCCCCGCACGCCGCCTCTGGAGGCGCAGAGAGCCCTCTGGCTGCATGGAGAGGGTGAAGGTGGTGTCGGCGACGACCACCGTGGCGGCGTCGAGGAGCAGGAGCGCGCCCGCACCGCCCACCAGCCCTCGGCAGAGGAGCACGAGAGGCTCTCGCCGGGCCCGGAGCCATTCGCTCAGCTCCTCGCTCGCGTCGAGGGTGAGGCTCTGCAGCTGGACGAGCGCAGCCGCGTCGGGCAGGCGGCGGAGGCGACGCAGAGCAGAGGAGGCTCGCATGCCGCCAGCCAGCCTGCAGCTCGGTGCCGGCCCCTTGTCCTTTGCCTCGTACCAGGGGAACGAGCGGCGCTTGTACACGAGAGGAGGCAGAGACGGAGGTCCGGCCGATGCTGCAGGCGCCGCCTCGAGCACGGCGTGGGCAATGGTGCCGCTGTACCCAAACGAGCTCACGCCACCGGCGACTCCCGACGTAGTCTGGCTGCCCTGGGTGAGCAGCGCCGCCCCTTGGCCAAGCACATGCGCCGACACTTGCGGGTTTAGCACCCGAAGCTGCCCGTTGGGCGCTCCGGATCGCGCCTTCAGGGCAATAGCTAGCCCAAGCAAGCCCGCCAGCCCCGCAGCTGGCTCGAGGTGTCCGACGCTCGCCTTGAGGGTTCCCACCAAAATGCCGTCGAGCGAGCCGTACCCCTTGCTCGCCGCCTTTAGCTCGATCGGATCGCCCAGCGCCGTCCCGGTGCCGTGCGACTCGTGCAAGCAGAGCCGCTGCCCGCCGGCCAGCTGTGCTGCGGCGCGGCCGAGGAGCGCTGCCTGCGCCGATCCACTAGGAGCGGTGAGGCTCGCGCTCCGCCCGTCCTGCGCAATGGAGGAGAAGGCTACGCGATTGGCAGCGTCGCCGCCCGAGCCAAGGACGAGCGAACCGACGCCTTCCGATCGCACGTACCCGTTGGCTCGCCGGTCAAAGGTGCGGCAGCGGCCGTCTGCAGAGAGCATGCCCGCCCTCGCGTACGCCACAGAGATAGACGGCGTGAGCACCAAATTGACAGCCGTGACGAGCGCGACGTTAGCTCCGTCAAGCGCCTGCTGGCTGAGCACTGCGGCGTGCAGCGCGGACAAGGAGGACGAGCAGGCCGTGTCGATGGTAATGCACGCGCCCTGCAGGCCGAGCGTAAAGGAAAGCCGGCCCGCGGCGACGGCAGTCGAGGCGCCGGTTGCGGCGTACACACTCTGCTTGGGCATCAGCTCCCGAAAGTCGACGTTGCTCGTGGCCAGGTACACCTCGGTCTCGCTGCCTCGTAGGCCCGCGCGCCGCAGACCGGCTGCGTGCAACGCCGCCTCGCCGCTCTCGAGCAGAATCCGCTGCTGCGGATCGATGCTCGACGCTTCGGAGATGGAGATGCCGAACGCGGCGTTGTCAAAGTACTCGGCGCCTGCGATGAAGCCGCCATGGCGCAAGCAAGCAGCGCAACCCGGAAGCAGCTCATCCGCAAGCGGCTCCCAGCGACCTGGCACGGAACCGATCGCGTCAAAGCCTGCGGCGAGCTTTGGCGCGAAGGAGGGGACCCCGTGAGGGGCCGCCGGCAGTCGCGCCCCCCCGCAAGACCAGATGCCAACCACAGCGTACTCGCTCGAGTCGATGGGCGCAACATCGAGAGGCAGATTCGCTGCGCCCGCCGCGATCGACGCACTGCCATCGCTCGACATGCGCGCTGCGATTGCTCGCACGCTCCCCTCCTCGAAGATCAGCGAAGCGTTCACGTCCGAGCTGTCCATTCCGGAGAGGTGGCTCATCCGAGAAAGAGAGCGCACTAGTTGCGGGACCGCCTCCGAGTCCAGGCCCGCGTCCATGAGCGGCACATCAAGCCCCACCGCCTCGACGTTGGCCGCCTCGGCCGCTGCCTTTGCCACAGCATCGCGCAGTCCGAGTCGCTCGTCGTGACCCAAGCCGCCTGGGGAAAAAGGGTGACTACATGTGAATCATTCGTGTTTGATGGTAGTCGCCCCGCGAGCAAGCGGGGCTCGCCGTGCGGAGACGTCGGTGAGTTGCGAGTCCGAGTCGGTGAGAGGCCGCCAAGCAAGCCGCCGGCGCGGCGCCACCGCAGCGGCGACGCGTCGAGCCGCACCCTCAGGGGCGAGGAGGAAGACGAGCCTTGCGTCAAGAAGGCCGGCTTCGAGGAGACCTCGCCGCGCATGCGTTGGTACACCGACTGCACGGTCGTATCGCCCCGCGCGAGGAGCGGTACGAAGCGCAAGGCGGCGACGGCGAACTCGATGGAGGTATGTGCTCCAAAGCGCTCGAGCATGCCCTCTCCCATCTCCAGGACGACGGTGGGGCGACCCGTCTCGGAGCAGCCCTCGAGAAGCGTGCTCAGCGCGTCCTGGTAGAGCACGGGCGCGGTGAAATGCCGCGACCAGTGCATCGGATCGATGGCATTCTCCTCGGCCATCGCATGCCCGGTGACGGTCGACACCCAGAGCACCTCTGGCGACTGCGGCTTCTCCTGCGCGTACAGCTGAACCGCGTAAGCGCCGAGTAGCGCCGCCAGCGGCGCCATGGCCGGAGAGTGGTCAGCGTGAGTCGCGGAGACACGCGTCACTTGAACACCAGGGGCAAGCCCCTGCAGCACCGTCGACAATGCCCCCCACACACCAGACAGCACGGCTGCGCGAGGGCCGTTGTCGCAAGCGACAACAACGCGGCCGCGCTCGCCAGCCCTGTCGATGGCGCGGTTCGCGTCCGTGGAGGAGGCGCGAACCGCCATCATTGAGCCGCGCGTCGGGTGCTGCTCCATCAGGCGGCCGCGCTCGCAGACCAGCGCTGTCGCGCTTTCGAGTGAGAGCGCGCCGGAGATGACGGCGGAGGCAAATTCGCCCACCGAGTGGCCCAAGGTGGCGTAGAGCTCGTCCTCCTCGCGCAGGTTCGCCTTGCACAACATGGCCAGGGCGACCTCGATGGCGAAGGTTGACAAGAGAGAGTACTGCGGCTGTTGCATCACCGCGGCGTACATGGCCTCATCGCGGGCGCCTGGATAGAGCACCTCCACCAGACGAACCGGGAGCAAATGCGCGGTGTACTCGTCGATCTTCTGCATCGTCTCGCGGAAGACTCGATCATTCTCGTACCTGTGCGTCGTCGCAGAGGGAGGCAAGCCTGAAGTCAACCCGTCAGTGTGGTGTGGGAAGGGGGGGTGGGGATGGGGGGTGAGCACAGTTGCCGGCCAAGGTTGACGCGTTGTCCACCAAGCGGCGGAAATACGATGACAACTTGACGACCAGCTTGCAGAGAGGCCTCTCCCGCAGCCGATTCGGGATCGATCAGCACGTCCCCATCCATCACCAGCCTCCGTGATAGGGGGTAGTGGGGATGGGTGCGACCTCCGCCTCCAGCGGACATACTTCTCCGTGGTGGTCGAGGGCGAGGGCGGGGGGCAGGTCGAGGAGGACAAGGAGGACGATGAGGAGAATGACGACCACGAGGATTACGCAGCGCCCCTGAACAGCGGCCAAAAGGGGGCCGTCAGACACAAGGCGCGCTAGCTCTTTGGAATGCGCTGAACTGCTATGCGGGTGTGACGGGGTCTGAAACGAGAGGGGATGTGGGGGGGTGGAGGCGTGGGCGGAGGCGACGGCGGAGGCGGTGGCGGCGGCGACGGCGGTGGCAGCGGCGACGGCGGCGACGGCGGCGGCGAGGTCGGTGGCGGCGGCAGCGGCGGCGAGGGCGGTGGCGACAATAGCGGTGGCGAGGGTGGCGGCGGCGGCGACGGCAGCAGTGAGGGCGGCGGCAGCGAGGGGCAGGGGCGGCGGCGAGGGCGAGGGCGAGGCGGAGGGCGGCGGCGGCGAGGGCGAGGTGGAGGGCGGCGGCGGCGACAGCGAGGCGGACGGCGGCGGCGGCGTGGGTGATGCGGACGGTGATGGCGCGGCGACAGCCAGAGCGAGGACGGAGGCGGCGGCAGCGGCGGGGGCGGTGACGACGGTGGCGGCGGCGAGCGACGGCAAGGGCGGCAGCGGCGGCGGCGGGGCACGGCGAGGGTGGCGGCGGCGACGGCGGCGGCGGGGCACGGCGAGGGTGGCGTCGGCGGCGGCGGCGGTGAGGGAGGGGGCGATGGCGGCGGCGGCGGAGGGGGCGAGGGTGGGGCGGCGAGGACGACGGCGAGGGCGGCGGTGGCGACGACGGCGGCGAGAGCGGCGGCGACGGCGAGGGCAAGGGCGACGGCGACGGCGACGGCGGCGGCGGCGACAGCGGCGGCGGCGGCGGCGACGGCGCGGCAGATGGCGGCGGCGGCGACGGCGACGGCGACGGCGACGGCGGGGATGCGGTGGCGGAGGCCGCTGTACTCGAGGCCGCCCCACCCATGGGCGGTCGACGAAATGTTCACGGCCTCGTAGCCGGTGATGCCGCAGCGGCCCGAGCAGCCGGGGTGCACCATGCGGTTGCTCGTTTGCCTCCAGTGCTGCACCTTGCCGTCGTCCCACTTGATCTTGAACTCGAACTTGCCGTCGGCACCCGTGAACTGGCCGCCGTTGTCGCGCAGCACGTTGAGCTGCGAGTACGCGCCCGTCTCGTCGAGACCCCGCGGACCACTGCGCGACCGTCTTGCACACGCCCGCAGTCTGCTTGAGCAGCGGGTAGCAGGGTGGCGACGGCGAGGTGGGCGGCGGCGGCGGCGAGGGCGACACGGACGGCGGTGGCGGCGAGGGCGACACGGACGGCGGCGGCGGTGACGGCGATGCCGAGCTGGAGGCGGCGGCGACGGCGAGGCGGACGGCAGCGGGGGCGACGGTGAGGCGGACGGCGGTGACGGAGATGGCGAGGCGGACGGCGGCGGCGGGGACGGCGAGGCGGAGGGAGGTGGCGGAGATGGCGAGGTCAAGGGAGGCGGCGGCGAGGGCGACGCGGACGGCGGCGGCCGCGAGGGCGAGGCCGACGGCGATGGCGGAGATGACGAGGCGGACGGCGGCGGCGGCGACGCGGACGGAGGCGGCGGCGACGGCGACGGCGACGGCGACGCGCACGGAGGCGGCGGCGGCGGCGGCGACGACGCGGACGGCGGCGGCGGAGATGGCGAGGCCGACGGCGGTGGCGGAGATGGCGATGCTGAGGGCGGCGGCGGCGACGGAGATGCTGAGGGCGGCGGCGGCGACGGCGTGGCCGACGGAGGCGGCGGCGACGGCAACGCGGACGGAGGCGGCGGCGGCGACGGCGATGCTGAGGGTGGCAGCGGCGACGGCGACGCGGACGGAGGCGGCGGCGACGGCGAGGCGGACGGAGGCGGCGGCGACGGCGAGGCGGACGGAGGCGGCGGCGACGCGGACGGAGGCGGCGGCGACGGCGACGCGGACGGCGGCGGCGGCGACGGAGATGCTGAGGGCGGCGGCGGCGACGGCGTGGCCGACGGAGGCGGCGGCGACGGCAACGCGGACGGAGGCGGCGGCGGCGACGGCAACGCGGACGGAGGCGGCGGCGGCGACGGCAACGCGGACGGAGGCGGCGGCGACGGCGACGCGGACGGAGGCGGCGGCGGCGACGGCGATGCTGAGGGCGGCAGCGGCGACGGCGACGCGGACGGAGGCGGCGGCGACGGCGAGGCGGATGGAGGCGGCGGCGACGGCGATGCTGAGGGCGGCGGCGTCCCGACGGCGAGGCGGACGGAGGCGGCGGCGACGGCGAGGCGGACGGAGGCGGCGGCGACGGCGATGCTGAGGGCGGCGGCGGCGACGGCGATGCTGAGGGCGGCGGCGGCGACGGCGAGCCGGACGGAGGCGGCGGCGACGGCGAGGCGGACGGAGGCGGCGGCGACGCGGGGACGGAGGCGGCGGCGACGGCGACGCGGACGGAAGCGGCGGCGACGGCGACGCGGACGGGGATGTGGCATCGCAACTGGGGCGGTGTCTGCGTCTGTTGGGGACTAGCTTGGGATGGCTGGCGGGCGGGCCTCGAGTTGACGGACGGAGAGGTCAGCACCTACGGGATCACGACCATGTGAAAGAGGGTCAAAAACTGCTCTGGAGATGCCTGGTATATGGGGGTACATGGGGGTACATGGGGGTACATGGGGGTACATGGGGGTACATGGGGATGAGAATATCTCGAGGAATCTCCAAATGAAGAGTGGATCAATCGTCGCAATCTCCACCCCGCCGGCCACCCACCCACCCAACCCCGCAGCCCCCCCCCCACCCTCCCCTCGAGCCTCGCCTAAAACAGATAAAAAGAAATCGACCGCGGTGACGCGTGGCGTGGGCTGCGTCAAAATGAAGCCCGAGAGAGAGCCGACCCGAGAGAGAGAGAGGTTGAGCCAGGTCACTGCCACACCTACGGGCAGCACGCCGCGGCGTTACCGCTGCGACGAGGCCGCCGGCACACTCTCTCGTGTCCTCGGCGCTCGGACTGGAGCCGGGCAGCGATTGGCAAGCGAGTGTGTCTCGCTCTCTCGCCGGAAGAGAGTGGGGGCAATCGGGCGGGTTCGCTCGGCGTAAGGGTGGGGAACGAGCGGCAGCGGCCGCATCTCGCGGCTCCTCGATGGCAGCAGCCTCACCTGCGATCGGGAGGTGGCAGGCATTGTGAGGCCGAGAGGGGGCCAAGCCGCTCGGGCGCCAAAGCGAAGCGCATCGCATGGTGGGAGCGGAGAGGGAGCGGCGGGTTGCGTGAGCAAGAGGCGTCGCGCCGCTCGGGCGTGCAGCTCGCCGCGGCCATATGTGCGTCGATGCGGCGGGGCCAGCGCGAGTGGAACGGGAAAGGCGAGGGTTGGACCTTGTGAGTTGGTTCTTGTGAGCCCCCACGTCGAGGGGTACATGGATGAAGGGGAACGTGGGGATCTGTCAGGATTGAGTAGTTCCGGGAGGTTTCCCATATGAAGGGGAACGTGGGGTACATCTCATGTTGCTATGAAGGTTGTATAAAGGGGAACGTGGGGAACTATTTTCAATCAAAAACAGCGTCTTCAGCACAACTATTTCGAGGTCTCGCGGATCTCTCTTTCTTCGGATCTTTAGAATTGCCTCGTTCTTGGTTGGCGAGGGTTTGTGTGTATCCTGTTGTATTGTTCTGCTGATTTCTTGTGTCGCTGTGTTGTCCCTGTGGACGCAT